TCTTCCCCCTTCCCTCCCTCCGTTGCGCTCGCATAAGATAAGGATTCCTGGCTTACTATGCTGCTACTTCTATTCTGGTCATTGAAGGAAAGTGGGTAAGCGGTTTTCCCATCTCAGATGTCAATCATACAACCCCGTGGCGGAGGAAGGGACCAAGGCAGCATCGCAGTGTCACTTGATACGGCGAGGGTTGTTCGGACCTAGCTCGTCTGAACTCGAGTCATATTACAGCGAGCGTATGGGCATTTTCTGAAGGGCAAGTTGGGCACGAGGTTGGAGGAAACCCTTCGGAACAACAAATGGATCCTGTTTCGAGATGAGAAAGGGCAACGAATGAATAGTGGATTATTTACTTCCCATCTTAGAACGCCGTTCAGTTTTTTTTGGTTGTTGCTCGAAAAAATGCTCCACCAACAAGAGAGAATCCTACAGGATGCGAGTATTATGACTCAAGTACAATGGCTGGCTACCCTGCGCGCCCCCCCTCGATGCGAAAAATACACCGCTTACTGCCCAGTCATCCGTCCTCCTCTCAGTCTCTGGTCTTCTCGGACTCCCGCTTTCGGACGTAACCCTCTCTACTAAGATGGTATGTAGACTGTGTGGGCCGGTCGTCGGAAAAAATAACACATCCCTTCTTGGATATTGTATGTAGAAGAACACCCTAGGAGAAAAGAAAAAATGTTGAACCTTGTCTTCCCGCTCTCGCATTTTACCCCCTCATCCCTGCCAGACCCCACGAGCAATCTAGAGCATGATCGCCAACTCCGACCTGTCCACCTTCTCTTCGTCCAGGTTGGGATAGTACGGCACCATGGCGTCGGCACCCTGGACATAGGCGTCGTTGTATAGCCGCCAGTAGGGCTGGCGTACCTTGCGTGCCGGGTGAAACAACCCCGCCCAGACGTAGTTGAGGACCACACCGGGACCGACGGCCATACGGATGGCCTCGATGGCCTCGATGATGCGGTCAATAACGTGAGGACTCGTCTCAAACAGGTTCGGATACAGGAGGTTGAGAAGATGGATCATGGCGTCCTCGCAGCCCAGACCGACAACACCAAGCGCGATGTGCTTGACGACCGAGGCCGCCGTCTGGCGATGGACCTGGTCGCGGTCGATGAGCGCATCCTCGAGCAAAGGGGTAACGGCGTAGACGTAGTCCTTGGCCATCTCGCCAATGTACTCAAACAGGAAGGACAGAGACTTGAGCACACCATTTTGCACGTTCAGCTCCGGAACGCGATACTCGTTCATGAGGGCGGGGAGAACGGTGAAAGGAGCACAAGTCTCGGCCACGATTCCAATGGCGACGGCCGTGTTGACACGAGACTGACGCTCCTGTACGCGAAGGTTGTTCAGCAGCGTGGCAAGGACGTCCTGGGGACCAATGGCCTTGGCGATGAAGCCAAATGTGTTGTTGGCAGCACGACGGATGCCCTTCTTGTGCGCCTTGAGCATGTCGAGCAGCTCGAAGCAAATGCGCATCCATTCGCGAGCGTTGACACTTTCGGGTCCACGGTCGGCGATACGACCGACCAGATCAATTGTGTTTTCCTGGACCTTTTCGTGACGGTTGCGCAGAATAGGGGTGAGTCGAGGGAGGAGATCCCTGATCGGAGGCTGCATCTGCGTGATACCGACGACCGTGACAATGGAACGCAGGGCTCCCAGGATGGACCCGAGAACTTCGGGGTACTCTTCACCCAAGTATTCGTAGAGCACAATTCCGAGCTTGCCCATCAAGGCGTCCTCTCCGCATTGCTTCATGACCATGGCAATTCGCGAAATAAGGTCGGCCGCTTGTTGTCGAACCGTTGCCGACTTGTTGTTCAGCCGCCACAGAATAGTACTGACGATTTGTGGCAGGTAAGGTTTGCAGCGTGACCCAAGGGCGTTGACAACAGACCCAAACCCGTTGAGCATGATGATATCCTCCACACTTTGTTCCTGAAACGAGTGCAGAATACCGTCGATCAAGCGTTCCTCGAGACGCTCACCGATATCTGCGGCGCCCAGACTTGCAACAATCTTCTCCACCGTCTCAACGGTCATCTTTCTGTAGGCCTCGCTCTCATCCTTGAGATTCACCACGATTCTCTCCAAAATCTCACTGACGCCGACCTTTTGGCCGATATCAACCGTGGTTTCGACCACTTGCCTGTAGTTGCGCTTGTCCAACGCCATTCGCCGCACCCAGAAGCTCTTGAAGAACTCATCCAGGACGTGCTCCTTGAGGTAGCCTGCAGTGACACCATCAGTACCAGCGCACTGAGACACCACCTTCAGGACAACCTTCTTCATCTCCTCATCCGGTGAGGAGAACTCGCGAAGGAGAATTTCCATGATTTGACTGGTGTAGTAGTTGGCGTACTCCTCGTCCATGAGAGGTATGATAAAGCCCACGGCTTTGAGGAAACCTGCCAGGCCCTTTCCTCGTTGCTTGCGAGCTCCGGTCCACAGCGGGTTGAGGATGTCGTCGAAACTCTCGATACCGTAAGGGTTCGATGCTTCGGCAAGCGCAGCGATGGCCAAACTGGTAACGGTCCTGACCTTTGTCTGCTCGTCATTGAGGTTAGGGCCAATACAGTCGACCAGACCCTTCAGGTGTGGCAGGACGGCACAGCCCATTAGGATGGGAATTTGCTGTACAATCTTGACGCCGGTGTGACGAGCCTGCCATGACTTCTTGCTTCGACAGACGGCTCGGAGAAAAGGCAGCAGAGCTGGGATGCCCAGAGCGGACGCAACCACAGCGAACGCTCTGGCGGTTGTGTTTCGGACGTACTCGTCGACATGGTCAATGTCTGGTCTCATCGTGCTGATCATGGTGGCCAGCCCAGCTGCTTTGCTGAGGTTGGAAATGATCTCACGGCCTTCCACTCTTGCATAGTAGTCTTGGTCGATGAGCAGCGGCTCGATGACGACCAAGATCTTGTGAACATATGGCCGCACTAGATCATCGAGCTTGTAAAGAATACGGTCGATGACCTTGACGAGTAAATGTCGCTCTTGATCTTCCAAAGTCTTCTCCATGAGCAGCGGAAGAATCTGGTCGAAGAGCGGACCGGCCCCAAACTGCCTGGCATTGTCGGTGAGCTGTCTCAGAGCAGTTTTACGCATTGGAGGAGTACCGTTCTTGACTTTCAAGAGCAGCCTCATAATCTTCCGCTCCTTCATTTCCTCCACGCTCAAACTGTTCTCGTCAGATCCGTCGGTCAGCTTACCGAAGTACGCCATGTCCTCGGCCTTGAAGAACTGCAAGTCGCCAATGCCTGGGATTTCTGCCGGCACAGGCTTTCCGCTTAGCCTGACAGAGTCGGGGTCTTGCATCATGAAACCGGTTTGAGGCGCTGGCGTAGCCATGAGCTTGTGGGCGGGAGCACGGATCGGGGCGTATCCTGGAGGTGGTTCGAGAATCTTGTACCCTTGCTCCTCGCCGGGAAGAAGCATATCCAGTTCCTCGTCGCTCAGAGGCGCATTGCGTCCTGAAATATCCGTTCCGAAGGTCGTAGGGAGGACAGCACTGCCCGCTTGCGAGGGATGCATCGGTGTGGCAAGCCCCTGGTTCCCCATGGGGGTGGCAGAGGGCGCCTGGTCCCATCTTGATCGCTTCTTCGGCGCGTCAGCGGACTCCAAAGACGGGGTCTGGTCCCATCGTGAGCGCTTCGATTTCGCAGGCTCGGAAGACTGGGGAGCTTCCTCATCCGCGGCTTGCACGGTTGAGACATCCCATCTCTTCTTACGCTTCCTTCCAGCAGAGGCAGCGTCAGCTGAGTTTGCTTCGGCGTTCTCCTTGCCATCATCCTTCAAAGTCGCTTGGGCAATGTTGCCGTCCTCTTCGGGTCCGGCTGCGACCTTGGCTTTGATTTTGCGGGCAACCTCCTCCTCCTCCTTCTCAAGTTCCCTTCTCGCCATGATATCGCGGTAGCTGGAACCATCCTGGTTGTCGCCATTGGAAAAGGCATCGGTTCGAACGGGAGAGAGGGCGCGGTCGAACCGGCGCTTTTGGTAGTCGGTCTCGCGATCGGTGATTCGATTGCTCTTCTCGCCACGACCCGCCAAGGGGTCGTCTTCCTCAACGCCGTCACCGCGTGCGAACTCGTCAATCATGTCACGTGAAGCCGTGTACTGGCCGACGAGACGGCGCGTGTTGTCGGTGCCCTCCATCTCGTCGTCATCGTCATCGCCGGCAGGGATGGACGTGTTGTATCCGGCAAACTTGTCGACGCCATTGCGATCATACAGATCGGTATCGAAGCTATCGGTGAGTTTCTGCTTGGTGCCAACGTCGGCACGCTGGGTGGTCGGGTCGAAAGTGCGCGAGCCCTGTTTCGCAGCGGCGGCAGCGTTGCGCTCCGCTTGAAGCTTCCGGACGGTCTCGAAGTCTGCGTCGGACATTTTGAATTATGGGTATTGTGGCTTCATGTCACTTGTGAAGTTGCAAGTGGTCGATCGACGATGGCGGCGCGCATCAGTAATTGTTGTTTTGTTACTGATGAGGCTGACAGGGGAGCCAGGAGTCGTCGCAGGAGTTTGCAATCTGCGCAGGCAAAAGCTTTGCTGTCTCGAACGCCACCTGAAATTCGACGCCCGAACTTTAGCCGAGAAACGCCTAGATACCCCACCTAAGGTACCTACCCAAGTAGGTACCTAGCTTACAGACCTCAACATCGAAAGAATCGCAACAGTGACAGAACCAGCGTTTTCGTTTTGGTTGGGGAATCAAGTCCTTCAATTTTCTCTCTCATATTAAATCTACCGAACTAGAATTGGTCGGAGCTGTCAGGCTTGAGTCTACTACCTAGCAACTCGACACAAAAGATGAAGCAATCCGGCAATGACAATTATATGGGATAACCATTTTAAATATTGCATACCAGCAGTCAAATGATGACTAGAGGTCCAGTAACCTTACCGGCCCGAATACCGAGAGAGAGAAAAAGGGAGAATAAGAACGGGAGGAGGAGACGAGAACCCGGCATCTCTCACGAGTTACCTTATATCTGTGTCTGCGACCGAGTCCTTCTCCGCTTGGGCGACGACCCCTTTGACACCGTCTCCGACATCTCGTGATCCACCTCGACCTTCACCTTCGCCTTCATGAGCTTGCGCTTCTTGCCCGGCATCGGTGCGTCCTCATCAAAATTAACTTCCTTCTTCACTATCATCGTTTGTCCCTCCCCCACCTTCTTCACCGTCCGCTCAGAAAACGTCTTCAAGTCCGCCGTAAACAGCACAGAGTGCGCCCAGCCTGCATACTTACCCCAGAGCTCCCTGAAGTGGTCACCGACGGCGTCGTACATCATCTTATTGAAAGTTTTGGTCTTGCTCTTGCCAATCTTGTAGTCCCGTTGGGCAATCTGCCAGACGTGTGTGTCCACCGGCACAGCTTCACCCCAGCCCAAACCCATCAAGCAAACACAGTCGGCTACCTTGGGCCCAACGCCGGCCAACTGGAGGAGCTGCTCATGCGCCTCTTTATATGTGTACTGGGGTAGCTCAGAGCCTCCTTGGGGTCTTCTATAGCATGGGTTCTCCGGGTTTGTAAGGCTCTCAAACCAACCCTTTGGCCGGTCCTTCACGATGATCGACGCCGTCTGCGCAATGTATTTCGCCCGGTAGCCGAAGCCGAGCTCTCTGAGATGCGCTTCTACTGACTTTCCCGTCAGAGCTTCTGGCGTCGGAAAGTCATGGAACGGCTCATCTCCAACATGGCCAATGAGTGGTCCGTAGTGCGTGCAGAGTTTATGGACCTATCCCAGAGTAAGCATCTAAATACCGTGGCGTCCTGCTACCGACATGTCGCTGGCTCACCATCTGTGATATCCTTGGAATGTTGTTATTGCTACTGCATATGAAGCATATCAGAGCTTCCCATGCATCTTGGCTCAGCATACGGACGCCCCCGAATTCAGGGGCCCTCTTGCGAAAGTTCGGATCTGCTTCTGACCATTGTTCGTACAAAGATTTGAGATCTAGCTTAAGACTCAAATAGTGCCGCAACAAATCTTCGGTATCGTCGTCTTTGACTTCGCCATCGGCGACTGGTGGTGTAAGCGGGTAAGTCGGCTTTACAGGCCAAGTGACCTTGTAATGCAAGTGAGTTGGATCTTGCTTCAGCGCTACGATCCGACCGTATAATGTGCAGCACCTGGGCCCGTGTTTAGTACGGTACGTTTCGTGCGTGGTTTAACACATTCAACTAACCATTCGTCATTGATTTTGCGCCATCGGAACGATTGACCGCATCGCAGGGTTGTGTCGATGCAAAGCTCGGCCAAACTGAGAGGCAGTTTGCGCCACTCAGTCACTCTGGCTATGGACATGCTCAAGGTCCTGCTGAGTCTATCAAGCTCAGTCAGAAATCAAGCTAGAGGGGATTCCCAATCCGTAACATGGGGAGATAATTTTGCAGATTCGTCGGTTGTCAATGGAGGGGTGAAGCCGCTGCTTTCATCAAGTGAGTTCTTCCCCTAACGACCTGGCGACTCAGCGGCCAGTCGCCACCCACATCCCAAATTGGAGTTCGGGACTAACCAGCCACATTCATTCAGCCACATCACAGTCTGCGCGATCAATGGGCGACCAGAATAATGTTGTTTACACTGTCTTTCTGCACTGTACATTGGGCTCCACACCTTTTCGCACTCAGCTCAAGAGCATCACGACATCACTGAGCGGCTCATTACGACCAGCATCCACCCCAACTGCCCACCATGCTTTTCTTCAGGTACGTTTTGTAACTCATCTAGGCACGGCGAACCCTTTCTTCGTGTTCGTGAGCCGCCATGGTCCTTATCAGGGCCTGCACAGACTAACGTGTCAATACCTCAACCCAGTTTCTTCAAGACGCTCATAGACCACGAGGTCACTGTCGAGCTCAAGAACGACATCCAAATCCGCGGTGTCCTCAAGAGCGTCGACCAGTACCTCAATATCAAGCTGGAAGAGATTTCAGTTGTCGAGGAGCTCAAGTATCCGCACTTGGTCAGTCACCTAGCCACCCTTCTTCTTCTTCCTGAAGCGCTCGCCCCTCCACCGCCGGTGTCTCCCTTCCATCATCTCGGCTAGAGGCCCCACAAACTTTTTAACTAACGAAAACATGTCGAAAGAGTTCTGTTAAGAATGTCTTCATCCGTGGCTCTGTCGTACGCTATGTCCACCTTCCCGCCGGTTCTGTAGACGTGCCCCTCTTGGAAGACGCGACGCGGAGAGGTAAGTCCCCAACGTCTTTCGCGTGTGTGCAAGCGTGACGCTGACGAATCCCGCAGAGGCTGCTGCCCAGGCCGCAAAGGCGAAATAGGCCACTGGCTCTTGGGAATGATATGCTGTTGGCGGGGGACATAAAATCATGACATGGCCGGGGCACTACAAAAGCCGGTCAACGAAAGTCAGGAATGGAAGGCCAGTGCCTAGCTACTAGATGTGCTAGCTCAACAGGGTTCGTGGGCGTTTTTCACACTCTGACTAGACGATGATGCGAAAAAGGCGGGAGAATCCGATATCCAGCCAGAAATCTACGAAACCCACTGTTCAAAGGATTTGTACGCCCTACCGAGGGTTACTCATTGTTCATTACTCATTACGTTTCCCACCATATGATAAGAAATCACCACCAAACGCCTCCTCCGCGGCCGTCTTTACCATCCCAAAGCGTAACCACCGTGCCTTCATTCTCTTCCCCCTCGAGGGGACGAAGGAGGCCGCCCTTCCTCCTCTCGGCTAGCCACTTGTCGATCCAGCCCTTCATTCTCTTCCTTGACACCTCGCTGCCAACATTGACTGTGGGAACGACCCTCTCGATGCGCAATGACATTAAAAACATCGCCAGCTCCCGAAAGCTGCTATGCTCACTGTAGGGCACTCCAAAGCACATGGCCTCCTTGGTGCTGCCACGTTGTGCCACAAAGTCCTTTGCTCCGAACCGTGACCGCCACGCCTTGCCCTGGAAGATCTGTGTTGTTGGAATAGTCCCGGGTTGTGTATTAGCCGTGACCGCTTTGCTGGCCCCTTGTGGTCGGTAGTTCCAACCAGAGGGGCGGAAACCGACAATGCGGCTGAAGTGCGGCTTGTACGAGTTGAGATACTCCTGCAGAGTTTCCGCTCGGATTTCCATTAGCATTTGCATGTGAACTTGAGCTTCGTACGGGTTGTCTGTCATGAGCGCTGTCAACTCTGGATCTCCAAGTTTCGAGCAGATCCGAATCTTCGACTTGGAAGCAAAAATTTTGCTGCCCAAAGCCTGCGCGATGGCCTTGCAGATACGCTCTTTGCCGATCGAATAGGTGCCGCAGATGACAAGAAGGCGCTCTCTGGGGACATTCTTAGGCTTGGGGTTCGAAGCCTCCCCTTCTACATTCGTCTTGGTGAAGAACTTGCTGACGGTTTCCGTACCGGCCTCTCTGCTTATTCTGTCCCAAGAGTTGTACCCCGGTGGCTGATCTGGAGCCAATGATTTGCACATATCCGCGCAAGCCTTGATGACATCGTTCTGGGGGGGGAATGAGTAGCGGGGGTTGAGGTAAGTTGTATCCAGATAGCAAACATCAATCTTTTGCTCCCGAACCTTACCAGAAATGGAGTCTTGCACTTCGGGCTTCAAAAGAGGATGCGCAACTTGTGCTGGACAGGCCCTGAAGTCGCCACAGTGCAGTATTCTTTGTTTCTTTGCACTCGGCCCCTTTCCCATGGTCTTCTCGAACAAGAATAGGGAGCTCCCTGGGCAGTGATTTGCTGGTATCATAGTTACAGTCACGCCATCGGTGCCCGGTACGTCAACTGTCTCATCGAACTCGAGAGGCCGGACCCAGTGGGCGGCAACGCGCAGCTGCATCTTGACAAGGTCACCTGTAACCTTGCTGCAGTATATAGGGCCATGCGTCCAGTTCGCAGTGAGACCAATGTAATGGTCACTGTGAAAGTGGCTCAAGAAGTATGCATTGCATCCCTTGACCGCACCATACCTAAAGGCATCCACACAAATGTAGAACCCAGGCATGATCTTGTAGAACGGACAGGTTCGCTGATACGCAGGCTTTCCGCGTGCCGATTGTTCTGCGGCAGCGGCACCGGACCATGCCGCGTCTTCAGCATGGCTTGACATCAACTTGCTGAAAGCCGAGGTTGGCTTATTTTCTACCTCGCTCAGGTTGAAGGGGCTGGCCTGGCCTTCTCGAGGAATAGCTGCGCGCGCGAATCGTTTGCTAACTTCGGGACAGTCAAGGATTGGCGGTCTAGCAATAACTTGTGTTTTAATCTTTTTGCTTTCTTTGGGCTGGGGAAGCGGGATTGGGTTGCCATCGAGGCAGGCATTGACATGTCGTGTTGCCTCGTCGGATGTAATGCCAGCAAGGCTGCCGTCGCATATTGGACAATTGGCCACAATGGCATCACTGTGTCGCGCAGGAGCGTCGAAGTCGTCATAAGTGCTATCTCCGGTGTCGCCATTCTCAGCTTCAGCCTCCAACCGAGCCTGCTCCTCCATATACTGCATCATGCGGTACTCTTCGCCACCAAAGTCGCGGTCATCGGGAAATTCGTCTGGGTCACCAAACTCGTCAACATTTGCAAACTCGGCATCGATTGAGTTCTCAACCTTCAATGGCGGTGGCGCGCAGTTGGTCTGTTTGATAGGGGGTGTTGCCTCCTCCCCCTCCGTCAGAACCGGCAGCATTGAGCCTTCGTCTTCTGACTTGACAGGAGGTGTTATGTTTACCTCCGAATGGACGGGCGGGATAATGGGCGGTCGATTAGGCATATTGCCTAGGAATGGCGTCTTATATGTCGAAACTACGTCCTCGCTGTCGGAATCGTCGAGAAAGGGACCCTTACGCTTCGTCGATTGTTTCTTTGCAGGCTTCGCCTCCGAGGCTGACGATGATGGAACTGGGTCGGATTGTATAGGTATTTCAGACTTCTTCTCCACAAGCTGTTCTCTTTCCATTTCCTCTGCATCTTGACTTAACCTTCTCTTCTTGAGTGGGGCCTCGACCTCGTTGAACCTCTCCTCCTCCTCCCACGGTTCAGTATCGTATATCTCCGGTTCATCGGTTTCTCCGTTTTGGCAGACTGCGAGCTTGTCGTGACCATCCAAGAAGAGAGTAGGTTCGGGCTTCTCGGCCTTTTGGAAAAAATTCAAGATGCTAGCATTCGGTCTGGCGGGTTTCTTCGAAGGTGGAGGCTTAGTCAAGGGTTTCTTTGGAGTGTTGGTTCGCTTCCGTGCTGCCGACGACGACGACGATGGCCCCATCCTTGAGATGTGCAGTTGCGATGACAAGCATATAAAAGTAGAGCAACAAAATAAGCAATGAGAGGAGGCAAATATGGTTTGAATTACGTTTGATAGGTAGCTACACCCGCATCACGCTTTTCAAGTTGGGGGCGAAAGTGGGCAAGGGGGGTTCGGAATTCAAAAAAGTAGTAGGGGGAAGGAATGACGTTCAGATCTGGACCCTTCAGAAACACGAAAAGCGCGGAGACCCTGGCAAGTCCGATCAAACTTCGTCGCGAGGTCGCGTGTTCGAGCACGTGACCGTCACGCTTAATTGCAGCAGGTCTGGGCATGTTCATTTCCATTAAAGGTGGTAATACAACTCTCGACAACCATTCCCGGTTCAATGGTCTCAACCTGTACTGTTTCCGGCTAGTCCTTCTTGCCTTTTGTTTTTTTATTCTTGATCCTCACGGCCTGCCAGGTTTATTAGCCTTTTTGTATAAATGTTGTCAGGGTGTTTGTGTGGTTCAGACCTCCCAGTATTGATCAACAAAACCTCCATACAGCGCATGCTCATATTGAGACAGCTGGGCTAGGAGATCCAGTATGTTTTTTGCAACGCGTGAGTTCACAGGACTCGAGCCACATAAAGTTTGGAGTATCGTGCCAGAAGAAACACCCAAACCTGTGGTCGATGGTGTGACGCCTTGACTTTTCAAGGTAGGTATGACGGCGGCATCGGCTTCATGATAGGGGCGAATGAACCCTCCTTCTCGATCTTAACTTGCGTAAACCGCCTCAATGATTTGGCTCAGTCTCTGTCTCGTCACGGGCAGATAGTCTCCTACCTGCTTTCTGTATGCCTGGGCATTTCTGTCTTGATCGTACCATAATGCCGTATGTCTTTGGTTGTCCTTCGTTCATTATTGCTGTTTCGACTTGGGGTAGACTGCAAGATCGATGAGAAAGACGAAGCGTACAAGCATTTTCCGCACCGCGAAAATTGCCGTGACGACGACAAACGCTGTCAGCAAGATCCCCGTACTCTGTCCAAACAGGGACTCCTCTAGTTGATGAGCGTGCCACAGCTGAATCATCTGGGGCTCGACAGTCCCGATGAGGATGAGCTGTTGAACCAAGCTTATTGTCGATCCGAATTCGGTCGTATTGCTTGGAAGACGGTGTTGGTGACAGATGGAAATCTACTGAGTCTTTTGAAATATGAAAGGTAGTTCGTAGAATAAGACAGCCGTGATGCGCAATCCGCGAATGAGGCTAAGCCAGTCCTCAAGGGCATGGCCTTCTGGGTGTGGCATGAGCGCGAAGGCGACGAAGAAAGCGATCTGAAGAGCAGTGAATACGAGAGCGAGGTCAAACCAACAGCACATATCCAGCATGAATCTGAAATCCCGGGCCTTCTTATGGTCAATCCGATGAGCGTGTCCTGTCAGGACATGACTGCCAATGGTATGGTTCCCATCAGTCATCTTGAATGCGTTTTTGTCGAATAACCCAGACGTCGGGGTTTTCTTCTTTTTTTGCACTCAACGCAGGTTCGTAAAATGAAACTTGATGTTTTTGCCTCAAAAAAAAAAAAAGCCGAAACTTGCCAGACGGTGTTTATTTGAGTACTCCCGGGGACGGTAATGACGAGGGATATGTGGTAGATGATGGAAAGATGGGGTATAGAGACGGTTCTGTGTGAGCACCTTGAGTATGTCCCAGCGACATGAGTGATGAAAGACGAGGGAGGTAAGCTATAACAGGCAGGAAGATGTAAACAGCACATGGTTGTCGACGTTGCGTATATCAAAGCCACCTTGTCGTGCCCGTCTCTGCCTCGATGCTTTGGGTTTCATCTCGATGCAAGTGCTGTTGAATCCTGAAGCAGGTACTGTTATAAATCTCAGGACTTGACAAAGTCATGTTAACGACAAAAAGCCCTTTGCCAAGAAAGAAAGCGCCAGCAGCTCCTAGTCCATATGAAGAGCCCACATGACAATGCGTCTGTTATCTTCTCTGCTAAGAGCCTTGAACTGCGACGAAGTAAGTCAAACTATTTGGCATATATTCTGTTGCGATGCTCCTTTCAGGCCAACGGGACTCTAAGAACATAGGGTCATTATCACAGCTGAAAGAAGGCCATCATCCATTGGACGGGGATTCCATCTGTACTGTAGCGCGTTTCCACCAGTATCTTTCAGAGGTCTTGTTTTTGTCCTCGAGATGTTTCTGGCGTTCAGCTGGTTATTCTTGCACCAGTAACAGGATTCGTACACACCAGCAAACGAGTACCGAAAATCTGAATCAAGTGTAAGCTGATACAACAAGAGTTTTTTGCCTGCGGTTGATGTTTTAAAGGCTCCGAGAGAGGGAAAGACTCGTGTACTTAGTCAGAGATACTGAGAAGAGTTCACCATCATCCGCATAGCAGCTGCCCTAAATGAACCGAAATATTCACGCAATGATGGTTGGAAACGGCTTGCGCTTGATCATACCCATGGAGTGCAACTAGTTCTAGCCCTCCAGCCAGGATCTGGCAACCATGGCAATGGCGGCCAAGGCCAGATAGACCAGGCCGCCAGTCCATTGTCAACTAGGTCCAGCGACAACTTCATCCACCACCTCTTCCTCGCTTCCATTTACACTGAAGCTATCGATTCCGTCCTCTATCTCCACAGTCTCCATCTGGGCCAACAGCCTCGCCCTCTCCGCAACAACAAGCGTGACCCACCGCAACTCAGCCACCTGTCTCCTTTCAAGCTCCCTCCGCTCGCTCTCTACGCGTTCTTCATGTCGAATCTTCACGCTGTACATGAACTCCTCGCGAATGGCCCGCTCCTCGTCTACCTTCATCTTATACCGTGCAGTCTCGTCGGTCCTCCATCTACCCCACACCCGCCACCCCTTATCCATCTTCTTAAGGAAATCCTTCATGAGCTCCTCGACACGTGCTTCGCTCTTTGGCTTGTTGGCAAAGAAGTCTTCTAGGAGTTCCAGGTAGGCGTCTTCTGTCTTCTTCTCCTCTAATACGCGGAGGCCGTACTCGGTCGCGAGGGCCTTTTCCTTGGCGGCCAGTTTCCGCGAGGCCGTTTCGGCGAGCTCAAGATGCTCTGCTTGTTGCTTTGCCTCGAGTTCGGCTGTGGAGGTAAATGCTCCATGAGACGCAAGCTCCTTTTCTTTGTCGTGTTGGTATCGTACAAGGACTTCTTGCAGGTCATGAATCTGATCAAGCATTGCCCGGAGGTCCTGGTACTTGACCTCGATTCCGTGACGTCGGAGGCTTTCGAAGCGGACACGCTCTTCTATCTTGCGCTGCCGGCGCTCCTCTTCCCGTCTCTCCGTCTCCTGCCTCAACAGCTCAGCCTTCAGCGCTTCTTCACGCTCAAATTCCTCAATCTGCCGTAGAGCGTCTCGAAGCTCGGACTCGGCCTCTTCTTCCCTTTGAAGTCTCTCCTCCCGCCTTGTTGCAGCCCCAGCCTTGACAGCATTCAGCTGGTCCATCGTACAGGTGCATGTTCTCCATACCTGGTTGCAGACGTAGCAGAATTGATATCCGCACCGACAAGTCATATGCTGACACGCCTCCAGGTGCTCGACCAGTGCCTGGCACTTTGAGCAGTGCTGCCAGCCCTCATCTTCGGCAAGGGCATTGGTCAGTGCCAAATCGCGGTCTTGCGGGCAATCGGAGTTATCGTGCTGCGGGCCGTGGCAGATGGTACAAGTCCAGTGTGCGTTCGCGCAGCGCGCTATGCGGAGGCCCTGATTCACGTGATCAGGTCTGATCCAGAGACTGCAATCTGGCTGGTTGCAGTAAATACGCTCGCTGACGGGGAGCTTCCACTCGGCGGCACGGTCTTTGTAGGTCTTACCTAGGTCCTTGGTGACGTAACGCAGGATAGTACGGAAAGGGATCTCGTTGAGACAGCACTTCGGGGGCCATTGCTGCTCATTCTGGACCGCTGTCGCAATGAGTCTCTCGAAACAGTCGTGGCAGTAGCTGTGACAGGTGACTTTGACCATAATCTTCTTATCAAAATCGTCGAGGCATGATACGCACTCGCTAGAACTTCCTGTTAGTATTAGGGCACTACTAAGCACGGACGACTTACACAGTTAATATCTTCCTAGATGTGGTATTCGTAGAGTTGGTATCCGATGGCCCTTCTATGCTCGTCTTACTCGGATTAGAACCAAATCTGAACGATCTCCTTTTCCCCTCCTTTTCGCTGATCTTTTGTAGGACTCGGGTCAAGGCAAACCGGCCTTTCTTCTTTGGTTGGATTGGAAAGACAACAAATCCAGTGGCCAGTGAGCCGCCGCGATTGCCCACCAGTTCCGGAAATGGTTGGATTTCCCCCTGATTCTCGTTTAATTGAATATCTGAAGATCTATCATCTTCGGTTGTGATGATGATAGGGAGATACGGTTCGGCTCCTTTGCTACTGGCCCCTGAAGCTATGTCTGCTTCTGCTTCTCGCTGCCTTGCTTCTTCTTCCAGCTGCCGTGCTTGCTCTTCTACGGCTTTTGCTTGTATGTTGTCGATAGAGGTCTGCAAGACCTGAAGGAGCACAGCGTCCTTGATATTGGGCGCCGTTTTGAGAGCGGCTGGCGGGCTATACCTTGGCCATTCAATATCACCCCCCGCCTCGGCTGTCGCCATTTCAGGCTTGCGTTCGTCAGTGGGAGATTTCCCTTTGTGTTCCTTGTTGGCCTCTAAGAGTTTGGTCTCGTCCTCATAGCCATACGGAATCACAAAGGGGTCACCGTAGAACCCTACGTAATCCTCCAGGCGGGAGGGTACAGACGATGCAGCTTCCATCCCGGCGACAGTTGTAGTAGTGCTAGACCTGTGAAAGAGAAAGAGAGAAAGAGAGAGGGGGAGGGAGGGAGGAAGAAAGGATGATCCGCGTCGTACAAGAGGGTAAAGTAATATTAGTCACTAGCCGCTACCACCTTATGAAGATGAGGCCATCTACCCTGACGCCCTACAGCAAGCCAGGGAGAGCGAAATATAGACTTTCCACCCCGCCAGGTACTCGAAACTTGTTGCATGGAACTAGCGGGTCGCCCAAGCCAAGAAGCCCGGAAAACTAGTGACTCTTCTCAGCCTCATGACATTTGACGAGGCAGTCTGACCTCCCCCCCAAGACAGAGTCTGCCCTGGCTGGCCTATAGAGGTGCATGTCGACAGCAGCATTGCGTGATCCCGAAGAGGCATTAGTGCACGTTTGGTGCGTCGTACCAGCGAATCACTGGTTTGAGTAGACATCCGAGGCAGACTGCACCCGCACGAGGCACCAGCTAGCCAGGTCTTGGTTAGTGGTGCGGATATGTCTTGCCATAGGTTGGAAGCAGCAGTGGTCCTCGGGGTGGTTTCGGCTATCTGATTTGATTAGCGCGTGGGCAGTGCAGGCTGACCAACTTCTGCACTTGCCCACCGAAGGGACCGGTGGGTACATTTAGCCGCAGCTGAGCGTTCCAAAAGAGCACCCTTGGGTTTGTTCATTGACGGCTCTTTGGTGCGAAGGTGTACAGCCTCTGCCGTGCCGTACACTTGCTAGTTTATTATATGACTATTATCTGCAGCCGACTAAATGGGAGCGTAGACGTCGGGACACCGCTGACAACTCCAGTAAGAAAACATTGTCTTCCATCGCTTTTTCTGATTGTGACTTTCCACGTAGCCACGTTGCCAGATCGATTCGACTCCTTTGGGGCTGGAGAGACACGATCTTACCCCACTGGACGGCAGGCAGCCAAAGTGCGGCGTTTCCGTGCTCCTGCCGAACCATCCTACATATACGCCCAGATCTCGGCCAATAGCAACAACCGCCGCAAACACACGCAACCATAGTGTAGGGGTTATCATCCCAGCCTTCCATTCAAACAGAAAGCTGGGGACTCGGGTTCGAGTCCCGATGGTTGCAATTTCCTTTTGCTCAGGAGCGAAGACATATATATCTCCCTCTTTTTCTGCTGGTTTCATTCGTCACCAGTTAAGCCGAGGCTTGTTTGTTTCTGTTGGAACAAAATGGAACAAACCCTCGGTTTCCGGTGAGCACCACCTGTTACTGGATGCTTCTGCTGGCTAAAATCGCGACCATACTCTCATGGAACGACAAATGTCTGATGCTGGCTGTTTAGAAGTGCTTAAGTCATTTTCTTTGTGCGATGTGCAGGAATGCCTTGCTAGATATGCGGTCGGTTTGCCCAAGACTCATCGGACCCAATAATCAGTCAGTCCACTAGCAACATTTTGGTATATACTTGACGAACAAGCGAACCAAGGACTTGAGATTAGATAGATGGAGAGAAATCGTGATTCAAATGCAGCCAAATTTGCGGCGTTCCTGAATGCTTGGCATCCATCTGTCTTCTGTTGGTTGGCAATGGAGAAGAATATCAATTACAACGTATCAAATGAGCAAGGCTGACCACGATGTAGTGGCCCGTCAGATTTTTGACTTCAGCTTGCTGAACTCCACCTTGTTGATGCAAGAGCCTACATTCTCGAGGCCGACTTCGACAACGTCTCCGTCCCTCAGCCACAGTTGAGGTGTACGGCCCATGCCTACACCCTCAGGGCTGTGCCTCCTGTCAGCCAATGACATCAAACGGTAGTTTCTATTGTTATACTTACGTTCCCGTAAAGATGACGTCCCCAGGCAGCAGGGTAGTACCCTGGCTCAGAAAAGAGATCATCTTCTTGATGCCGAATATCATATCTTTGGTGTTGTTGTTCTACTAACCGTCAACGCTCCTCTCCTAATCCGTACCTGCGGTGTATCACTCACCTGAACGGTCTCCCCGTTGACCTTGGTAAAGATCTTAAGATTTTGCGGGTCCCTAACGACTTTGCTGGTCACAATGCCGGGGCCGAACGGCGCCCAGCCGTCGAATCCCTTCCCAAGCGACCATTGACCCCCACCACGCTGGAGCTGCCACTCGCGGTGGGACACGTCGTTACCGACGGCGTAGCCGAGGACGTAGTCGAGGGCCTGATCCTCAGGCACGTTGGCGGCGGTCTTGCCGATGACGACGACCAGTTCACACTCGTAGTCCAAGGTGCTGCCGGTCTGCGCGACCGGATGCACGGGAATGGGGTCACTTGGTCCGGCGAGGGAGGTTGCCGGTTTGTACTGGCTGCGTCAGTCTGCCGCAGCGCGCCACATGGGACGATAAGGACTTACGAAGAGAACAGGAAACTTGGGAATGGCCATGTTCGACTGCAAGCGGTTAGCAATCAACCTGGCGGTATGGTTTTCTATAAGACGCGGGCTGACCTCCTTTGCGTGGTTCGCATAGTTGAGACCCAGACATCGCACAGTCTTGACATGTTCGGGAGCCAAGGGGGACAACAACAGCCGAATGTCGGCGACGTTTTCTGTGACATCGTGTCTCCCAAAGATGTCACCTGTCACAATACGAGCTTGTCTCGCCTTTGATATATCAGTGACGCCGCTGGGGAGGATAGCATCGCCATAGTATGTCTTGCCGTCCCGGGCGAGGAAGCGGACGAGTCTCTAGCAATGGCGTCAGTACGGGGGCAACTAGAAACATGGCCAACTCACCGAGAATGAAGCCATCTCCACGATTTGAGGTACTACAGCTCAATGTTGAATGGTAAACAAAAACAAGAAGGAGGACAATGTTCTACAGTCGATGGGAGGTTGTTGTGATGGAATGAGGTGAATATCGGGAAGCATGCGGTAGACGCTGTTGAAACCCCACATCTTCCTACCTACCTAGGTAAGGATACCTAGGGGCCCACGGCCTATTAGGTGCCAAACCAAACCCCGGCCGCATGAGAGCATGGCGCATCACTAAAACCATCGGCAGCAGTTCACGGCTAATGTATCCGCACCATCAATGGCACCCTGGTCGCTGAGTCATCTGGTTGACCAATGTATATGTCCCACTTTTCTACGGCCTGAGAAACGGAGCTCTTTCCTTAGACTGACATCAACGACTCGAGCTTTCTCAGATACGATTTCTTTGATGAACCATCAAAGGACCCCCCCACCTTCCGCTGCATCCCTGTTGAGTTGACGCTGAAAATGGCTGTAGCAAGACGCGGACTTTCTGGCCTCCAACGGGAGGTTTTGTCTCTATACAGACAATGCCTTCGGGAAATCCGCAAGAAGCCAGAGGTGAGAGAGATGTCTCAATTTGGTAGCAACCCGCACGTGAGAGCTAACATTGGTGTAGAATGCGCAACCTCACTTTCAAACATTTGCCAGGCAAGCTTGTGCATGAATTGGATTTATATGCAGAGAGGCATACTGAACAATGGTCAGGACCGAGTTTGACAGGTACATCACCGTCGACAAGCGCGACTTTTCTGTCGTAGAGCACTTGCTCCGGAAGGGCCGTCGTCAGCTCGAGACGTACTCTTCGCCCAGCATCAAGGATGTTAGTCGATGAAGAAACCGCAGCTTGATTGCTCTGACGTTGGTTTCGTCCTCACGCACTTCTGGGAAACCGCGTCTTCGGATAGGAAACCGAGCCGGCCATACAACCCAGGCGCAGGCGATAGCAGTCGACGCTTCCCCTCTGTATCACCACATGTCTCTACTATGCTACGTTTTGTTACCTACCTACCTAGACCACATGATACCATCACAAATTCTTCTTTGGATCCAGCTTTGATATTTCCCAACCTATCGAGCATGGACAATGCTTGATTGCGACAGAGTCTTCCGAGACTGTAATTGTATTTCGTCTTGTTCACCACCCATTCCTGATCCCGCACCTCACCTGGCCCACAAAGCAGCCGAGGACGTCTTCCGCAACCCAATAAGCCCGTCTGTGGAGAGTCTCCGTCGTCAGCAAAGCAAGGCTGTTTACGCGAAGCAAGTTAGTAAAGCAAGGCTTCCTTCGGGCAAGATTTCCCGCTCTCGGACAACAGCTGTCTCTGCCAGGAGGGCGAACGCACCCTTTCCAACCTCTCTTACGACTTCCATCGCCCAAGAACGGGAGGTGGAAAGACTTCGCAAGCTGGTGGCATCGGATGCTCTTCAGCCCCTACTACCGAATTCTCGACAGCCAAACAGACAGTCAATCCAAAGAACACCCCCTGTGTGGTACGTTGCAATGAAAGACTCCGAAGAGGCCAATTCCGGTTCGCCAAATATACAGGGCACCTTGGCCCATCGGCAGCCCGAATTTGCTGGACCCAGTCGATTGACAGGGTCTCGGAATGTTTACACCAGGCCCGTTGTCGGTTTTTCAGGGTCTCCGGTCCGATCCAAGCCCGTTCGTCCTCAGGCCCGCCGCCAGACGCCGCCTACTTCTAGTCCATCCAAACATCGGGAGTTCCCTGCCATGGCCGTACCGGAGCCCTCTCACTCTTTCCACTGCCGCGAATTGGTATCTTCCCACGAGAGAAGATTCGGCGTCGCTGACCCGCAGCTGTAGGAGGCTGTTCGCCGAAGTCTTTCACAGCAGAGCCAGGTGTCTCTTCTTGCATCGCCATCCAAAAGGATATCAAGCCGATCTCTGGATGCACCACAGCCGCCTTCTCGGACTTCAAGTCGCCGCCGAGAGGTGGATCGTTTCGCCCGACAACTTGAACTTTATGTCGAGCGCAGAGAGGCTGCCGGAAACCTTCCTGTCTCTACCCCGACGCCAGACTCTGTGATGTCGCTTCACACAGTGACGGCACTTCTTCCGTATGAGGACCAGTTCCAGGCCGCCGGTCTGGCAGTAACATCTGTACAGCAGCGGCAACGGTCGCCGCCAAAGATGCTTCCGGTAAAGGAACGACACTTGGTCGCCGTATCAGATGATAAGCTCGCAACGCCGACGAAGGGTTACACCAAGCAACCTCGACGCGAAGGCGAACCAGGCCATCTTCAGCTTAATGGCTTAAGGAGCCCTTCAGATGGTTCCACCACCTCATCCAGTTCTGGGGCACAAGCTGCTTTCACTCAACCGGAAGCCTGGGAGCTTGCCTTTATCGATGAAGTGCCGGCAAAAAAGGATAGATCCAATTGCTGCAACCTCCCTTGCTTTCCGAATACGAGGGACCAATCAGTAGACATGCCTGCGAGTCGAGCACCTCCTCTTCCAACGCCCACAACTATCGACACTCCAAACAAGCTATTAGCAAAGTGGCAGCCAGTATATCCCCAAAGGACGGAAGGCCTAAAAGGATGGTGTAGGTTTGATCCGTCGTTGGTGTGTCTTCTTGCTAACTCTCGCGAAGATGAAGATACTCGAGATGCTCGAGCCAAAACATGGCATGGCGACACTGCGCAGCGTCCGTCGACTTATCGGAAACCGCGTGAGACTCTCCCACCCGTTGGCGAGGTAGAGCCTCCGAGCCCACGAAGTAAGGACCCCAAGAAATCAAGTCGCAGCCCGGAACAGAAAAAACCGCCGATACCACCCAGAGCGGAAGCCCGTCCTAAAACATCGAGAAAACAACTCGGGCCGCCGACCGAATCTTCAGGTCTCAGAGGCCTTCGAAAACAGTCGCAACTAGATGTATTCACTGGTCAAGAGAACGTCGCGCCGGACGGCAAGCCCTTAGATACCGTGGCCAAAAAGGCGATTACAGCAGCAGTTGCTACATTCGTTCCATATGAGGACTCTGCTCCGAAGCAGCCGATCGCATGTCGGATCTCTTCAGAGCCAAAGGAGCCTTGGGGAACCGTGAAGAAACCCCTCAGGGTATCCATCAATCAGCCCGAAAGAAAGGCTAGGGAAAAGGCTCTTATTCAACAAGGCACGAAAGCTGAGCTCGAACACCCGCCTATCTTTCAATCTAGAAGAATGTTTCGAAGCCAGCAAGGGCCTCCCAAAACCCCCGAGGCAGATTACGAAAATCGATCCGCGATGGCGAGTCAGGGGACGGTCTCATCAAACGCAGATCTCCCGTCTACGTGGAAACTGACCTTGAGCACCTCTTCATCTCTTGAGCTTGCGATAGAGGCTGCCTCTCAAGAGACGAAAAGAAGGGAATTCAAGCTGCCTGAGAGCGAAACAATCCCGAAGCAAATTTTGACAGAACAACCTCAGCCTACTGCTGCTCGAGAGGACAAGGATGACGATGGGATCCCACTTCCTAGCGGCAAAGAATCCATTTCGCCGCTTAAGGAACAACCAACTTGCAAGACGTCCAGAGATGGTAATGGACCCGTTTCCAAGGAGCAGGATGATTGTGACATTGACGACAGGGATGTATTGCGAGGACTCAACATTGCAATATCCGCTGCCTGTGATGAGGAGGTAGACGCTTGGATCCGACTGAAAACGGGCGTCCGCATTCGTCGATTCTTGGCGGACCTGAAGGCATTTGAGACTCTTGGTGACGATCATGAGCCAGATCCGGTCAGAGAACGTGCGAGGAAAAGACGAGCTGACTCGAGGAAACTTAAGGCACAGATTCAGCAGTCCAAAGCTGCTAGAGAGGCGAGAGCGCAGTGACTATGGGCCGGCGGAAAAGAAGGGTTTATGGACTAAGAAAAACATAAATGGCTTTGTTCAACAGTAATAGATGCGGCGACGTTGGCATGGACTAGAGGAACCCTACGTATCCATTCTGTTTACCCTAAGATGCGTTGTTTTCTGTCCAACTCGGCTGAATACGACAACACACAAGCATTTCCTTGATGTGAAATAACAAAAACCTTTGAACCTGTTCTGGTCCTCGGATGCTTACAAGCGAAGTTTTACATGTTGTCACAGCAGATCACCCATCAATGGGGTGAGATTGAGACGTTTTAGGTCTATAATGTAGATCATATTGATTAAAAGGTGTATATCGCATGACTCTCTGTGCATCAAAACCGGATGGTGGGGAATCTGGATGTTCGTCTGTGCTCATTTATCAAGCTCTACGCGCAAGGTCATTTGCACTGAAACGCTATTCATGTATGCTTCAACCGCGTTTGTGCTCCAATTCCTCGGCCTCGTGGCCAATCTTGACCTCCTGCTCGACCTGGGCGAGATCGAGGTCGGCGACCTCAGCGTCGGGGCCGTCGATGACCTTGACGAGCTCCTCAAGGGTGGGACCCTTTGTCTCGATGTAGAAGAAGTAGACGAAGGTGAGCTCGAGGAAGATCCAGCACTGTGGTCGGCGTTAGTCGGCCTTTCGCCAGGGAGGGCGATGTCCTGGGCGGCTGAAAAGGGGTTGGGCAACTTACAGTGTAAATGAGGTAGAGTTTCCATGTGTGGCCCTTGAAATATTCGAACGCGTAGGGGTTGGCGTAGTTGTTGAGGGTCAGGGCGGCCTGAACGGTCAGGTTGACGATCATGAGACCCTTAGCACGCAGCTTGTAGGGCAGGATCTCAATGGAGTAACTGATGAGTAGGCCTGACCAAGCGAAGGAGTAGAAGAAACCGAACAGCCAGATAAAGAAGATCATGGCGTAGTTGGAGCCGGGGGAGCCGTACTCTTCGAAAAGACCGTCGGAGAGTGTCCAGAAGACGAAGGTCATGAGCATACCGGCCGTGGAGGCGAGGAAGATGGGGCGGCGGCCGAAGCGGTCGACTTGCATGGCCAGGGTCACGGAGACGATCAGTGAGAGCCCAGTCTGGCCGGCAGAGAGCTGCGAGATGGTGTTAGCAATGCCATTTTCGGTATCGACAGTGGAAGGGGGGAACCCACGCCAAGCCTAGAGGTAGAGCTCTCAATGCCGGCATTGGTGTACAAGATGTTGGTATAGTTGGAGATGATGGCGTTGCCAGACCACTGGGAGAAGAGACCGAGCGAGATGAGCATCATGAAGCGGTACTTGTTGCCGGGGGTGCGGAAGAAGTCGAGGTAGCTGGTGCTGTTCTTGGCGGCGATCTCACGCTTGATGGTCTCGCGAATCTCGCGGAACTCGAACTGAACTGTGGGGTGGTCGGTGTTACCGTTGGCGTGGTACTTGCCCAGAATCTGGAGGGCCTCATCGTGACGGTCTTTGGCGATGAGGAAACGAGGGGACTCGGGTACCCCTGAGACACAGTTAGTAACTGAACAGATGGGCCCTCTGCGGAAACGAAGAGGCCGAACAACTCACAGAAAATGAAAAGGAGTTGGATGACGGAGGGCACAGCCTGACCAATGGCGGGGATACGCCAGGACCACTCGTTGCCCAGGAAGTCGGTTCCGAAAGAGAGCCAAGCGACGACAAGTGCACCGACGTTCCACAGACAGTTGTAGACCTATTGCACACAAGAATATCAGCATATCTATCCATCCCATCAGGGCTTACAAATCACGAATAGCTTCATTCGAGGTTATAAAGTCGTGGAACGAGGTCGCGTGAGGTACGTACCGTCGTCAGGCGAGCACGATGTTGCGGATGGCACAGTTCGGCGAGCAACATCGGGGAGGCGATTTGGGCAAAAGAGTTACCGAAACCGAGGAGGACGCGGCCACCCATGAACACTGCATAATGTCAGCCTCTGAACAAGACAACCGTAAATCAGGAAACGTACTGCCCAAGTTCTGGCAGGCGCCCTGCAGGATGGCGCCAGCGACCATGATTACGCAGCCAAAGATGATAGGAATCCTTCTCCCATAGTTGTCTGCCACCCAAGGACTACACGCACGGTCAGTACACAGATCTACGCACTTGTTTTCTGTCAGGTGTAACTCACACTATGGGAATAGAGATCAAACTGCCAATCTGGTAGAAGGCACTGAGAAGACCGAGCTGACCTCCCTTGGGGTGGTCGAAGAATTCCTCCCACGAGTCGAAGTTCTGGACGGAGTTGAAGAACGAGCTGTTGACAAACGAGGTTAGCGAGCCATCGATTTCGCAATAATTATATCCGCGACATACCCATCGTAACCGGTGGTTGCGGAGGCAATACAAAGAACGATTGCGTAAAAGTATAGTTTTCGCAGACCGGGGTCCTTCATCCAGTTGACCCTCTCAAATTCGGGAGCCTCTTCCTGAGCTTGGGCGACAACCTCGCTCTTGGGCTTCTTCTGCGACAGGCCCTTCAAGAAACCCATATCGACAACGGCTCAACGACTTTACGATCGTATGTGTGTGCGTGTGTGGTGCGTAACGTTGGTGATTCGCTTCTGCTGGCGAGGGAAGCAGGAGCCAAGGCAGTTTCCGTATGTTGGATCAGAGGCTGACTGGAGAAAGACAGGACAAGGAGGTGAAGTTATCCCACGACGCGGGTCTACAGGCCTAATATATGGAGCCGTGGATCGTAGGAGGAGTACTCCAAGCGAAACAGGACTCTAGACAGCTACAGTGCGAGCTTTCAGACGAAGTATCGGACTGGGAGGGTAGGGAACTCGAGATAGTCTCTCTCCCGGGGGCAGGGATATCAGACGGGAACCACTTCCTTGGGATGCTTTGCACGAGGTCCTGGTCGGAGGCCAACTGGCCCCAATCAACTGTCGCATCAAACAACAGTGAGGACATCGCCCGGCACGGGTAGACTGCAGCCAAGATATCATACCATGGGGCGTGTGACGTGCGTGGCAGGGGACTGCCACTTTCAACCGGCAAAAGTCGAATGAGTACACGTTTCAAGGCAAAGCTTCATCGCCGAGTGCTCTAACAAGCCTTACGTAGTAGTCAACACTGAGCCTCTGGGTATTAGTGATAATCTCTGCTCCAAGACCATTGGCACCGTCCGAACGGGTGAATGCGAGGCCACGTCCATTTCCCCAAACTTTGGAGATTGCATTTTGCCGGAAGCTTTATGTGGACACTGAATTCCACTAGCAAGGACATGATTAGGTAGATGGGAGGAGATATGTGGTAGGTATTGGTATTCCACTCGCTCGACGTCCGTTCCCCCCCTGGGGCCCGTCCCGTGGAGATTGAACCAAGTGGGGGATTGACAGGGAAGTGCCTTTCAGTGGAGACTGAGATGGTCTTGCCTGTTGACCTTTTTGTTTCCCCCAAAGGCAGTCAGACCGCCGACTGACAGCACTCGAGCCGGGCACGCGACGGTTTTTGGACGGGGGAACCTTCATAGGAAAAGGAAGGCATCCGAGCCTCTCGGTCACTTTGCCGTCAGCGTTAGCGGCCTAAGAAGCGGCCGACAGGCTTCGCGGATAGCTTTTGCCGGCTCTTTACCCCAGAGATACCTACCCTAGGATACCCCGGCAAACCGTGGACGGGTAGAATAAGAACCGTAAAAGTGGACGAGTTTGGGGTTGACTGGCTGACCAGCTGCGGGTATGCGACTCTTCTTTCCGTATCTCACATCTTCTGGACCAATACGATACGACGAACTACCAAGAAGTAGCCAGCGGGAGAGTCAAACAAGAAACGCGCTCTGCATCTGCGTTGGAGTACCCATGCTCCATAACGACAGAATGAGTTTTGCCGGCCGCGTAAGGGAAAAAATGGGAAAAGAAGCAACCAAACCTTGCTGGTGCGTGAAGAGCTAGAATCCTGCAATACTCCAGCACTCATTTCCAGACGCCAAATTTATTAGCGCTAAGCTCTTGACAGGCGGCAGACCGGTCAGGCCAAAAGTGAAGATATCTCCGTCCCATTGATGCGAGAGTGTAGGGGAAGACCCTTGCTCGGAAGCTCCCTTGGTGTAGAGTTCCCCCGTGACCCGTACTTTCTGGGGCGCGAGAAGAGGGCATGCATATTCAAGCCGAACAAGACTATGTATGCATTGTCAGGCCCGTGCTTCGAGTGACGATGTTCGCGCAAGGCTGCTTGCCATATGTACGCCGATTTGATAACATGTCTTGACGGTTGTTCTGATGCGCTGAGTTGAGAAGCATCGCATTCGGACCATCGTGATAGCTGGAAGCGGCAGCCTAATCTTGCCGCTTGCTTTTCCGAGTTCCACCGGTTGCTGGTCGGCTCAGTACGAAGTATCCGTAATGCTGGCCCACAATCCCTATGTTCAGAGTACGGATACGGTACGGTGGGTACGGCGTGTGTGGATTCGTGGATACGCGGAGGTCTGCCGCACAGGCATCCTCGGATTCTCCTATCCAGGAAGACGCAGATCAACCCGACTTTGGTCTTTGCGTCACCGCCCGTCCGGTGTGACTTGAGCCAAACACTCAAGTAGTGTTGATGCTCAGGAACCTTGAAGAAGTATTCAACTAGAAGACTGTCGTTAGTTTGGAAGTTCCCACGTGATCATTGACGCACAGGCAAAGGAACGACAGACGGCAGTGAACAATCGTACGACTTTTGACTTTCGAGCAGCGGCTCCTCCTCGACTCCCAAAGGTCAGCAGTGTGACAGCATATTGTCTCCACAACAGTCGACGCCGGCTCCTCGTTTGCAGTGCTCCATACCAACGGTGAGAGTTGCATCGCGGCCGAAGTTGACGGCTGGAAAGACTCGGTAGGCTAGAGATTTTTAACCCCCAGTCCAGGCCAGAAAAAAACCAATGGCGCCGCTGCCTCACATACATGGTGTGCATCCAGGACCCCAAAGCCTTGTCCGGCGCCACCCATGGTACTAGGGTATCCTACCATTTAGCCTGATTCAGGCTAAACAATACTCGGCAGTGATTGTAAAATGTCCTGCCAGGGTGTTGGATGCCGCGCTATTTCCATCCATGCCATATTTGACATTCGAGGGTTTTCAAGTTACGACATGAATGAATGTAAGCTCACAACTGGCTGAGTTGTTCCACAACACCAACCTCGCTGCTTTGGAGACGGCCATCTACACTTTGTACCGATTCCTGTGGCATCAACTGGTCCGACTACTTCAAGGAGGTACATCATTCCATCTTAGATATCTTTCATAAGCTTTCCTCTGTAACATGCAAACATCCGTCTAGACGGCACCTGTATCTGAAGACCTCAGGGCAAACACGAGCGGTTTCGGCATGTCTTCCGTTCACGATGATATATATCCAACTCTATGAGCCATGCAAGCGTCAAGATGCCGTTGACTTGTGGCCGCTTCTCTCGACCAGGGGGAATGCATCCACACTGCCGGCATGCTTCGAGTCGCTGATTGATGGGAGCCAATCGATCCGTGAACTCGGGCCCAAATGCTTAGGTTGAGTGCAATGCTAACTTCCTCAAGACCGAGCGCACCTCCCAAGGCATCGATGTTCCCATACTGGTCTTAGGGAGCCACTCTATACCTACATAGTGATTAACCAACAGCCGACTTTCTTGTTCCTTTGGCCGGTGGTAGGTTTGGCTATGCCGAGAGCGAAGATTGTAGCTCGATGGGAGGCTTTCAGCCGTTACATCACGCCCGCAGGCAGGGGTTTTCCATCAACGAGGAGGTGGTTGGACATCCGGCGATGGGTTGATGGAAGCGGAGTTGGGGGTCTGGAGTTCGGCTTCTCCACGCACAGACCCCATCTACTTGCGACCAGCTTCCTTCCCCCGCACACCTACCCCAACCATCGTCCAAGTGCATGCTGGCCTGTTGGCATCCCCACGAGCTTCACTTTCCACAGCTGCAACCAGACAGTAATGTGTGCGGACAGACCAATGGAAGCACCCGGCGCCGAGGAGACGTGGCAGTTGAGGCAGAACTTTACGGCCAGGAAATCGTCTGACGAGCATCTATTCCGGTGCTGGAAACACCAGGACTGCAGAGTATGCCTGGCGGAGTACCAGTGTAGCTGGTGTCCCATGGTTGGTTTGCGGCGTTCGGATTCTGGACGGGGCGGTTGCTGACTTTTTATGGCCGACAGACATCCGCATGTGTTCCAAACGCGTATGTGATCCCGTTGCTGGCGCCTGCATACGACGAGGACATCTGCCCGCACTGGGCGGAACGCTGGGAAATTCGTACCAGGCCCTTGGGTTGCCAGGTCTCGACCATCACGAGCCTGACATCCATTATTTCCGTCGTTTCCACGCTGATGGTCATCTTACTGGCAATCTCACTCACCTTTGGAGTCCGCTGGTGCAGACGGCGTAGCCAGCAAAATCCGGATTGGTGGAGAAGTTGGAAGTACGACTGGAGACGCGTTTTCATCTGGAAGGATCAAGGGACACAGGATGGGGAACAAGATCCGCTACTCGGACATCACAATGCGCGAAACGAAGGGACACAATGAGCATGGTGATCGACAAGCCGATCTACTGTACCCTCAGCAGCTTGGGAGATTTGAACCGTAGAAAGACTGGATCCAAGTCCTCACCAAGTGCTTGCTATCAACTACCACGCTGACGTGCGACCGACTCTCAGCCAGAGCTGACGGGAGGGATGACGGCTACCTCATCGCCGGCCCGGATCTCCAGGCCATCACCATTATCAGGGCCCGGGATATCTACGTATTCAAGGTTGACTGTTACCAAGCAGGACTCCAATATCCTCTCTTTGATACCGCTGTAGTTCTCTTCGAGTACGTCGAAAAGCTTTTTAATAGACATTGGGGCAGGGAGGGCCTCATGCTGTTTGGACGTGAAAGAGCCGGCGCTGGCAAAGAACAACACATTGAAGTGATCCTTGGGGGGTCTTGGAACCGCAGTCATTGTCGAGATGGGGTATTGAATAGATCTATAGACTTTGAATCGTAAGCTAATGCCATAGAGCTCAACGAAACACACGAAATGTGGTCGATAATGTTGGTGTCAGAGATCTTGGTGATAATTGTGATACATCAAAGAATGTTCAGGTAATACATGCTAATTTGGATACATCATCCCAACTTGGAGAGAACAAAGGAAAATCAATCATCTTACCAATTCGTGCCGAACCCTTTCGATGGGTTGAGGAGTGTGAAAGGAAAAAAAGTCTGGTTGATGCGGGTTGAGGGAAAGTTTATAGCTACAAAGAAGCTAGGGTGGAGCCCGCATCGGAAGATTTTTTTTCTGATCAGTAAGAAGACCCACGATCACGTGATGAAGCAACGCGATATTCTGCTGGCTTGCCTCCCGCGACTACGTGCGCGGCTGGCGGGGCAGATCGCTACTGAGGCAGCAATTGGAGAGTCATCGTCGCGGGATGCCACTCGAGTGTTTTTTTTTCTTTACTTTTTTTTCCCACTGATGCGTTTCGGAAAATGGTCAGCGTTTTCGAAGGAATTTATCGCGCTACATCAGAATCTGTCGTATTAGTCAAGCATGGGTAAATCGCGGGGCACTTGGAGAAATTGAGCAGTTGGTGCAGAAGATGTTGATGAATTTTCCCAGGCTGTCCATTGATGATGATAAGCTCTCGTAAGACGCCGTTCCCTCGCCCTCCAGTCTCGCATCACAAACAGGTACACGAGGTTTCGTTCGTGCAGAAGTTGCCTCGCGGCTGGTGGGAGAACCTTGCTGTATTCGCAATGCAGAATCCGTTTTTGACTCCTCTAAGCACGAAAGCCGTGGGCTCGGGTGACGAAGCCCTCGCAATGTTCCTGTCCCATCCTCAGAACCAATATCCGTTCCTCGTAATGTCCATAACACACGCCGCCGCCGGTGATCGCCGTTTTATCTCAGTCTGCGGGCCTCACGCTCAGACTCGAGCAGGCAAAGGATGTCGTCCTCGCGGACTAGAACACGCAAAAGTCAGTACCGAGCCGTATCTCAAGTCGTTCGCTCTGCCGAGACAGAAAATCGTGGGGTATTCGTAGCCGCTTACCGGGTCCCTTGACGTTACGGATGATGGAACGGGTCTGGTCGTCCATGAACTCGACGCGGACCTGGGTGACACCACCGCGAGAGCCTATTACGCTGTCAGACATGCGACCAAAAAATCATTCCTCCATCTCAGCGTATCATGGCGTTGGATCTCGGGAGGTGTTGGGTTTTTGCAATTTCGGGTGGTTGAGCATACCAGTACGGCCCAGGACGCGGGTGACCTTCACAAGCTTGACGGGCTGCTTAGCGGAATCCATTTTGACTGCAGTCAAAAAATTACGTCAGTTGTCAAGATCTCTGTCAATTTCGGAGTTCGTGGCACGTACATGTATGTGGTTGCGAAGGTGCTGGTGATGGCTGCGCTTTGGGGAGGGACTCGGAGTGGGCGATGGATTGCAGATGCGATTGCGATGGGTTTGTGGAAGGAAAGGGCAGGAAAACCCTGAGGAGGAAAGAACGACCCAGCGCGGGCTTTGATTGGACCAATCCCGCGGTTTGGTTCTGAATCTAACTGTTTTGGCTCACCGCCCTTGCTCCTTACTACTCAGAGTGTTTTCTGCCCCGTAGCATGGCCAACTCACTACCTGTACCTAACTAGGTACACTGGGGCTGACCATAACATGCAAGTTAACATGAGCATCTTAAGAGAACCATAAAAGCTGCAATGTGGCGTTGGGCGTCAGATTGCATTACCCACGTCAGGCCCCTATTACCTTCTATAATTGAAGGAGCCATTTAATAAGTCTGGTTTGAAGGTTATTTGCATCCAGATTGCCTTGTAGAGACCTTTCAACACTTGCTTCTTGCCCAGGCAGTGTCATGGTTCCAAACAGGCCGAGCTCGCATCTTGGGCTGCGAGCTATGTGCAGGCCATATTTATAGAGACCCAAAGTCTGCTACATGTGCACAGCATCGCTGTTCGAAATTGAAACGAGCATCACACGTCACCAGGTTCAGGAGAACATCGTTGACGCCCAGCTCAAATGCAATGATGAAATCAGGGGGGTATCATTATCGGGCAGAGGGCAGTCATGGCAGCTTCGCAATCCGTTCCTCCAAGTCCTTGACCCAAGCCTCCATGACCTTCATGTTCCCCGTCATAGCAGTACCGCTCTCCTTCATCGCTTCTTCAACCTTCACCAAGCCATCCTTCCACTGTTGAAGATCGGTGGCCATGTCTGCCTGCTGCTTCTCGATCCGTTGGAGCATTTCGCTTGCAGTCGCGGCGTCAGAATGGATCGTCCGAAGCGACCTCAGACGGTCCAGCAGTGGTGGCAGCAGGGGAGCCAGATTTTCAATCGTGGGCAACGTTCCATAGAGAGCGTTAATCTTGGCCAGCTGCTCAGGAGGCTGGGCACCCTCGCTATCCGATGCACCGTTACCAAGCGTTTCCTGCGCAGATTTGGCCCCTTGTCTCGCCTTTTCCAACTCTTGAGCCTCCTGGATCAAGGTCCGCACTCGACGGCTAATTGTATCCAGGTTCGAAGTCGAAGCCTGTGACAGAGTTGTGATCTGTTTCTGAAGGCCATCGAGAGTCGGAAGAATGGCTCGCGGCAGTCCATTGACATCAACCTCAGGCAAAGCAGTTGAACCGATCCCAATGGACTTCTCGAGAAGCACAAGCCGTCTGTCAAAGTCCGCTGCTTTGGCAAGGGCATGGCTTTGTTCGTAGGTAGGAGCATATGTGACGGTGTACGTGGCAGCATTTCTTTGTGGAAGCACAGCATGCGGCCCTTCTTGTTGCTGTTGGGGTAACTGAGATACCGGTTGAACAACACTAGGCGTTGAGGTAGACAGCGCAATGGTTCTGGAGATTTCGTCCAGAGCCTTGCTCAGAGATCCCAGCTTCTCTTCTTGTTCTTCGGGAGCGGGTTGTGCTGCAGTTTCTTTCCTCTTTCTGTGCTCCTCTTTAGCCTCTTCGACCTCACGTTGCAGCCGCGCAATCTTCCGTTCGAGATTAACCTCGTCGTCCTCGTCACTGAGATCGCCTATCTCTGCTGTACCATCTTGGAGAATACGCTGGCGCCTCGTCGACGCCTTGTATGACTTTCGTTTGCCGTCTACCCGATCCGAAAAGTCGACCTCCGTAGCGTCTACTCCTGCGGGCAGGAAACGAGACCGCGCTTGGTCTACTCGTAGTCGGGACCGCGAGATCCCGTTCGTATCGTCGTCCAGATCGTCGTCGAAGTCATCGTCCGAATGCGACTGTCCGGTCGTCGTCTACCACACGTCAGCCATAACCAATGATGCTGGTGGAAACGAATCTCACAGGAACGGTCGAAGTGTCGTCGGTCAGCTCTGGGGTCTCGTACACATCGGGGGCCGAGTCCTAGGTGGTGTCAGCAGGGCTGCTCATGCTCTAACCATTCATGGATACGGTTGCTCGGACCAGATCTGGCAGTGCTGCATATTTACGGTTTAAGGCCATGATGGGAATTCAAGGGACTCGCTGTAGGAGGTTATCAGTCGCGCTGCTTGGTGTGACAATGTCGAACGCAGCAGAGTCAACAAGATGGCTAAAGACCCCTACGCGGAAAGCCAAGCTCCAGTGCGATAACTTGCTGAGTCGCAGGGGCCACCCATTAATTGAATGGAAGTTTACCTATCGAGCTAGTGGCAAGTGGGGTAGCATCGGAACGCTGTGAATCTACCCCCGAGTATGCAGGCACGCGTTCAGAACGCGACTGCAGCTTCAAGCACTTGGCCTTAAGCGACAACAACTTACTTTTGTGACACCCGATTAAAAAAAACAAGCTCTCTTCGCAATTCGATGCGACTTCACCCTCGGACAGGAGTCAACAGGCCGCCATTAATTGGTGTATCTGTTACCTTACGACGCATATGCTGACTTCTTTTGATCTGCCACCTCACCAAAGTCTTTGATCGGCAGCCAGGCCGGTCGGGACTGATAGTGAACGCCCTCTGAGAAACCTGCAGCTCGACCAACACAGTCGCCTCTTAATCCATGAAGCCGGGGGGTTGGCGCAGAAAAGAGGCATAACTCCTTGTTGAATCTGCCAACATGCCCAGCGGAAGCAATTATCAAAATGGGCGGCGAGCGGGCCTCTCTAGGAATGCAAAACCCCCTCCTTTGCTCCAGACGCTTAACGGCAAATCTCGTTCCGAGCCTAACATCGATGATCCACCAATGGATGACACAGAGTCGGAACTGAGTGAGGCAGAACCCCCTACGACCAGCCACACGATGGCTTCAAAAAGATTCTCGAGTGAGAAAGTAGGGTCAGAACTCACAAAGCCTTCGCCGTCGCCACAGCCAAAGGAAAGCCGCTTCCGGGGCAAGTTAAAGCCTACTGCAGACTCTTCGGACTCAGACAAGGATACACGATCATCTCGAGCTGATATTCAGCGCACCCGTTATTACGGCACTTCAAGGAGTGGGCAAGAAAAAGCCAAGCAGTACAGGGCATCTCAAGAGAGTAATTTGGGACCGAGACCCAGCGCTAGCTCTCAGGGTTCAAATACCACAGCTCGTGCAAGCAAGAGAGGCCTGCCCGACGAATCTTTGCCTAATTTGGTATCTAACAAAAAGAGGACATCAACCAGCAAGCTTGATGACGAGAGAGAGGCGAGAAAACTGCGGGTGGGGAGGAAGTCCTACTCCCAACGTGATAGGAAAGATATTCAGCGCTCGAGCAAGTTGCCCGAGAGATCGACGATGCAAAGCTCTCAAGAAAAGGCAGCGACTAAACGGAAGAAAGAAGGTTTGGTTCTTCTACAACTGATGTTCCGATCTTCTGCTGACACTTATCCAAGGTCGCTCTCCGAGTCCAAAAAGGCCTCAGCCGTCATTCAAGGCATACGACGATGATCCTTTCGATCAGTTCTCCGGCAAGGCTCCTCAGAAAGACCTCATCAAGCTTCCATCCTTGCCGTCTTCACCTTCCGGTAGCCCTCCGAGATCGAAATTTCAAAAGCATTCGTCTCTCAGTCCCGGCGCATCGCCTCGACGTACCACCAAGGCCAAGTTCAAGCACCCATCTGGCTCGCTACCTGAGCCCCTGCGGAGTCCTAAAAGGGGGTCGGCAGATCTTCTCGATCTGGAATCAAGCCATGAGGCCCTTTATAAAAGGCACAAGGGGGAGAAAGACTCATTTTTGGATATCTCGGACCACTCAATTTCTGATATCGACACAGAGACACGGTGCCCAATGTGTAGTGAGATTGTTGAAAACGCTCTCCTGGAGGGCTTTTCAGGGGGTGCACGGCTACATATTCGCATGCAGATTCAATTCTGTCGACTGCACAAAAAGAAGTCAGCCGAGGATGCATGGGATGCCCGAGGATACCCCAAGATCGACTGGGAAATTCTTGGTTCCCGGCTTGCAACTCATTACGACTTCCTTCGGAAAATCATCAACGGCGGCTCGTCTCACTACGCTTCACTATTGGTCGACAAAGTGAAGGAAGGCAAGGACCGGACGTTGCTGAAAGCAGAGGACAGCCTGACGCCTGGATACTACGGTCCACGTGGCCTACGTGCAATGTCAGAAAGCATCATTGGCAATTTCTCGTCGATTTTGAGGGAGCGAGCTGTGGAAGACCGTGTCATATCATCGCGTGGATATTCCAGTTATGTGGAGGCAGTCTTGGTTCCCGAGTTGGCCGTTCAGTTGATCTGCGAGGACATGGAGGTCAAGATAGACGAAGCAAGAAAGATCCTCAAGGAAAGCAAGTGGATTGGCGATTTGCTCCATGATGATGCTGGGGATACGGTTGATCAGCTGAGCGACGATGAACAGGTAGGAGGACACTGAAAGAGCAAAACGATGTGAAACATGTGGCATATGATATCCGAAGCGGCAAGAGACCAGGTTGCCAGCGTTTGGTCTCGATATGGCATTTCAATAGCATTATGGAATAAAAAGCGGCACAATAGGTATACGGCGAGGGTTAACCCTTTGTCCAGATCTGCTCACTAGCGGTGTACAGTTATCATGACCAATATCAAACTGAACGCCGGCCGTAGGGCTTTTTTTTTTTTTTAACGTTACAATCCCAAAGCCTCCCTTCTTCCCGTGCTGTTCAAATCAAGATACGGCGCCTCGCCCAGGGACGCCACGCGATCACCTGCTCTGGCGTCAACATAGTCGTAAGTCGCGCAATGCCACATGCTCCGGTTGTCCCAGATAGCGAGGTCGTTCTGGCGCCACTTGAAGCGGACCTGGGCGTCGTGGTTCTGAGTGACGAGGTTGAAGAGGTAGTTCAGGAGGACGTCGGACTCGTCCTTTGTGACGCCATTGATGCGCTTCGTGAACCCCTTGTTCACATATACGGATTTCCAGCCAGTCACAGCTACAGACTCTGTCAGCGCTCGGGGCTCCCAGAGGTCGATCAGAGAGGGCGATCACTCACGGTTGGTGCGGATAACGGGATGGACAGCCTTCAGCTCCGTGCCCTTGTTCAGTGGCGAGCCTCGGAGACCATCTCGGAGAGGGTTGCCCAGCCTTCGGGCCTCGTCGTGGAAGAATGTGGCGTCGTGGGTGGCTGTCAGCCCTTCAAGGAATTTCTGCATGGCAGGGGAGAGTCTGTCGTAGATCTCGTATCCGGAAGCCCACAACTAACCACGAGGACTTTCAGTGAGCGGCGAAGTTCATATGCATGCGTTTGCAATGGGAAAGGTAGCGCAACAGGGGCCATGTAAGAGGTTGCAGAGATAAAAACGTACAGTGTCACCACCGGTCGGGGGCAGGGTGTGGATCTTGAGCATTGCATAGTCTGAGGGGACCTGCTCAAAAGAGATGTCGGTATGCCAGCCGGCACTAGCGAAACGGCTCACGTCGCTCAACTGGTGGGTGAGGCCGCCTCCCTTCTTTTGCTTTTCGCTGCTGATGACGCTGATCTGGTCACCGAGCTCGCTGCCCTCCTCAGTCAGGGGGTGAATGTGAAGACCTGATGATTCAGGCTTTTTCGGCCGAGTTAGGTTTCATAGTCAACAGCAACATGAGGCTGTTTGATCGAATGTTGGACTGGACTTACACATCCGGCAAGCTCTGTGAGACGGAGGCAAAAGTCCTTCATCTGAGTTGGCGTGACATCCTGGTCGCGCAGGAAGACGACTCCGCGCTGAGAAACTGATGTCACTCTTAGTATGATGTACTATGAGGCGAGAACAGGAGTTGTCAAGGCTTACTTGTGACAGCCAAGTCTCTGATGACCTGGTCGTCGGCCTTGAGAAGATCAACCACCTGAAGGCCCTCGTACTCCCGGCCAATGACAGGGGTGATGTCCAGGCTCTTGTAGTTGTCCAGCGAGCCGGAGTAGACAAGCGGCGTGCTCAAACGGGGGCGGGCGATGGGGTTTCCGCCAACGATGTTGGCCTCGGCCGCTCCGTTCGGGACCGCTGAAGGCATAGTGATGTTGTCGTTGTGCGAGCCGTTAATCTTTCTTGATTTAGACGTTTGGAAGTTTTCAGAGCTGGGAGATGAAGGGCGCTTGAGGGCTTCGTTGACCATGATTTAGGCAAGATCTGATAACAAAAGGAGCCGGCAAGATATATATGAGTGGTTTTGTGCCCGAAACAGCCGTGATTCCTCTGTCCCCAGGTTCAGGTACGTATTATAGAAGAGCAGTGTATTTTCCAGCTTAGAAAGCGAAACCGAGGGGTCAGTCATTTGATGGGGTGAGAAAGGAAGAAGATCGTCAGACGTTTGCTCCAACCCTTGGCTGCGTTCAGTTCGTGAGTACGACGAAGGCTCCCGGCCGATGGGCGATGGCGCAATCACAAAGCTTCCTAATTCGGCGAGGCCTGCCCGCCGTGACCAATCAGTTGGGCGGGGTCCCCCGTCGGCGAAATCAACGGCCGGAGAAAATCTCGGAGTCCCAGCGCGACATCATCACGTCCTTGCAGCGCCGGGGCTACCTTGCATCTTGCATTTGTCCATTTCGGTTTACGCGAACCTCCGGCGCATGACACCCTCTTTGGCAAGACTAAAGTCTTGGAATCAAGCCGTCTTCTTCAAGGGAAAAGAACAGCTTACCGGCTGTTGAAATATGCTTAGTGTACCAGGTGATGTTTAATATGGCCAAGACGTCCACGGAAGGGCGTTCCAAGGACCCGGACGAAGAGGGGTAGCGGAGAAAACGATGGGAGTCTGGGGTAAGATTTGTTTTTTTTTTGGAGACCTGCAACTCCGGCTAGACCATCCGGCCCCGGTCGCTGTCAGACACGACACACGTAGGTAGTGTATCCGTAGGTTGGAGAGCCAACCTCCGAGGAGGCAGGACAAAAAATAAAAAATAAAAATAAAAGTTGTCGACACCATCTCCTCCCGTCCCCTTGTCCGACCACATGGCCCAACTCCACTAGTTTGTGGATTCCCTCGAAGACGCAAGAGCGAGGGTAGATGTCGTGAGAGCTATGATCTGCTACCCTCAACCAGAAACATTAGAGCCTCAAAGAACGACTATTAAGTTGAGCGTTCACCAGGTTCCATCGACTGCCATCATCGATCACCGCCGCCTTGCCATTCTCTCTGCGAACCCCTGGGCTGGAACTTTGTGGAAGCTCTAACAGTTCGCCCCACGCCGTCCTCCTATCTTGCCCCCCCCCTCCATCTTCCAGAACTACACGAGCGCGCCGGAAACAGCAAAGATGGCAGATCTAAAGACCCACGTGCCGAACCCGGTCAGCGACAACGGCAAGGACACCGCCTCGGTCTACCAAGACTCGAACACTTCTGCCGTTGTCGGTCGCGAGAACCTCTCTGACCACGTGCCTCCGCACGAGTCCTACGAGGGAAAGCACCGGTGGGATCCTGCCGCGACCTGGACCGCAGCCGAGGAGAGGCAGGTCGTGCGCATCACGGACATCAAGTTGCTTTCGATACTCTGTGTCATGGTATGCATACGCTCTTGAACCAGACGCCGAGATGCCATTCCCGCTGACTTTGTCCAAGTTCTTTGGTCTCCAGCTGGACAGAGGAAACTTGAGCAACGCTCTAGCCGACGATTTTCTCAAGGACATGAAGCTCAGCAGCGACGACTACAACAATGTAAGTCCCCGCCAGTCCTTGTAATAGAAGCACGGTGCTGAGGCTGACATCCCACTCATAGGGAACCACGATCCAACTGCTTTCTTTCCTGGCCGCCGAGTTTCCCGTCCAGTTCCTCACCAAGCGGTTCGGCTTCAAGTACGTGCTGCCAACCATGATGATGATGTGGGGTATCGTCAGTTGGGCGCAGGCCTGGATGACGACCCGCGCTGGATTCTACGTGACACGGGCCCTCATTGGGGCGTGCGAGGGTGGCTTCATCCCCGGCACTATTCTCTTTGCGACTTACTTCTACACGTCCAAAGAGCTCTCCGTCCGACTCGCCGTGTTTTGGTCCACATTGAACGTTGCGCGAGTCATATCGGCCTTGCTGGCTGCGGGCATCCTCGAGATGCGCGGTATCGGGGGACACCCTGGGTGGTTTTGGCTCTTTCTCCTCGAAGGGCTCCTCACCTGTGTTCTGGCTGCTCTGGTACGTTTTGAGTCTCACCTTTTTTTTTTTTTTCTCAGTCGCAATAAGTGAAGCATCAGCGCTGACATGGTGTTCACAGGCCTTCGTTTGGCTCCCCAGCTCCCCGACCAGCACCACGACGCCCATCTGGAGAAAGCCATGGTACACGGAGAGACAGGAGGTCATTATGACCAACCGTATCCTCCGCGACGACCCGGCCAAGGGCCTCACGGCGCTTAAGGAGCCTGCGACGTTCAAGGACATCAAGAATGCCTGGGCCGACCCCTCGATGTGGGGCCTCTACTTCATCGGCCTCATCGCCTACATCCCCGCCACTCCCGTCCAGGCCTACCTCACGCTCACGCTCCGCAGCCTCGGCTTCACGACGTTCAACTCCAACATGCTAACGGTGCCCTCTGCTGTTCTGCAGATCATCACGATGCTCGCGCTTGCTTTCAGCAGTGACTACTTCAAGGAGCGCGCGTTCCACTGCATCTTTGGCGAGTTCTGGATCATGCCACTTCTCATAACGCTACTCACGCTGCCGGACGGCGGCCGGGAATGGTCTCGTTACTCGGTCATCACGCTCATCTCCGGATACCCATACTTCCACCCGATTGTTTCTTCGTGGATCTCTGAGAACACGTTCGACGTCAAGAAGCGCGCCATCTCAGCAGCGACATACAATGTCATTGTCCAAATCGGATCCCTTATCGGCTCGCAGATCTACCGCAAGTACGACGTTCCCTACTACAAGCGTGGCAACACCGTCTGCGTGTCCATCTGCGCTCTTAGCCTTGTCGTGTTCTTGGCCCACCGTCAAGTTCTTATAATGCTGAACAAGCGCAAGGAGAAGGCGTGGAACGCCATGTCGAGCGAGGAGCGACAGGCGTACCAGAATGACACGATGGCGCGTGAACAGGACGGAAACAAGCGTTTGGATTTCAGATTCGTTTACTAAAATGAGACCGAAGTTTCTCTGATGAGACGCGACGGATATTGGTTCGGTTGTGGCATATATGAATACCAGGTTTGTTTTGAAAAATAGTAAACGGAATAATGATAATTTGATGGGAGTGGGTTCAGAGGAAACAATGGGTTCGGGTATAGAGTGAGACATGCATCAACCATTTGTTTACACTTGGGGGCAATACTTATTTTATTCATAATAGTAACTCACACCGACATGAAAAACAGATGCAGAAGAAACCCATGGCCGCTGTACTTGGCCATGTCTTTCTCTGATCACATGCAATTCCCTCTCTGGTCTCGGGACTTTTATTAATTGTGAGATGCTCTCCAGGGTTTGTGGTCTGTCTACCTATACTGTGCGCAGCGCATGGCAGGATCACATCAAGGTCGTCAACGGACCCAGCTGCAGGAGTCAACTTCTCCACAGCTCTCCTTATGGGCTTAGCGCATCAAGCACAGCATAGCCCCAGTCTCCGCCTTCTGCATCTTGCATCTCAAACGTCAACTGCTCTCCTCCACACCCCCAGCCCCAATCAGCCTCTCCAAATCACGTTGGAATCGGCTCGCTTGATTCCACATGCATCTCGCGTTTTGGAGCCTTGCCTTGTAAACTACACTAATACTCATCGTTGCCCCTTCCCTCCCATCCCACTCTTGTCGGACGCTACAATACCTATCAGGCTGGGGACCTGTCTTGGTGAAAGTGACAGGTCTCTCACACACACACCACGCCTCGTACAGTACACGAAAACAAGACACTGTACATAGGACACGACCAACTAGTTTGAGGCGCTGGCTGGCTGCTATGACACGACGCAAGTAAGCCAACGTTCTCTTCCGTCTTTGCGACATGTCAACCGGGCGCAAGATTGGCAAGAGAGCGTGTGACGCGTGCAAGATCCGCAAGATCAAGTGCACAGAGGTCCCGCCCTGTGACGGCTGCGTCGCCATTCGCACGGCATGTACCTTCAACAAGGTCCCTGCCACCCGTGGACCCCGGAACCTGAGGGCAAAGACGATACGGCAGATTGCACAGGCCCAGCAGGAAAGTGCCGCCGCTCCCCCAAGCTCAGACTCGCCAACCGGCGATGGAGCTGCCGTCGCATCTACCCCGGCCGGAGCTGCCGCACCCTCGCGGTCCTCGCTCTCACCTGACGGAGCTTCGTCCGAAGGCGCCGGAGACCCCACCGGCAGACTGAGACTGGTTCGGCAAGAGACCACTGCCCTGCAGGCGCAGAGGACCCCTAGTGCGTCGCTTGTCTTGAGACTATGTATATATCGCCTGCGTTTATTCCCTGTATGGCCCATCATCGCAGTCGAGGAGATCATGGCCTCGCTGTCCCGCGACGCCGATGATCTGGATTCTTATGTCTTGGCCAACGCCGTTGGGGCCGCGACCATCGCTCAGCTGAAGCTGACCACGACGGACAATGATGACCCAGCGACAGCAAGCTCGATGGAGGCCGAGTGCCAGCGGTCGAGGATGGCATTGCAGGAACGCGAGGGTGGCCCGCCCATGAATCTCAACTGGCTGAGGACCTCTTTCTTCCTCCACGTCTATCATGAAAACCAGCAGCCTGGAGGGGCCAAATCCCTGCTCTATCTACGAGAAGCCATCACTATTGCCCAGATCATGGGACTGCACAAGGAATCGTCGTATATGGCCTTGCCATTACCAGAACAGCAGATGAAGAGGAGAATACTGTGGCTGCTCTTCGTTACAGAAAGGTTCGTCTCGCCCTTGTTGTTCGATTCCAGCTGCTCCTAACACCATCTCAGGGGTGTGGCAATGCTCCACAAGCTGCCCGTAGTTCTGAAATCCAACATACGCTTCCCGTCCCTGGACGGTTCCGGGGTAGGCGAGGACGAGGGCCATGTCCTCCCGGCGTTCAAGAAGCTAGCAAATCTTTTCTGGATATTCGATCAAAGTGGCGCCTTTGACATACTCCAGAATTCGGATGATGAAGACGCCATGTGGTCCATGGCAGACGGTCTGCAGACCGCCAGCAGAGCATGTCTTGATGTTGTTCAGAGGAAGCTCCAGGAGATACCTCTGGACTCTGATGCGAGCAACGACGTCCAGCGTGCTGACATCGTCGTCACGCGCCAGTGGATGCAAGCTGTGCTGTGGAAAGTCACCATGAATCACGGCCGCCCCTGGTCTTCTGGAGACTGCAGCAATGATAACAACACCAACAATAACAGCACCAACGTTACCTCCCTGTCGCACCCTATACATATAGCTAAAGAGTTCCTTCAGCTCATTTCGCAGCTTCCAAGCACTGCTATTGAAGCCCATGGTCCTGGAATAGTACGTGTAGCTGACTGTCGTCTGCCAGGTCCTGTCCTTGCTAACACCTTTTAGGAGTTCAAGATCTATGAGATCGCTAGCGCCGTCACCGATGCCGTTGCGAACAACTTCCGACTACCGCGATCCTCTACGGACGGCCCGAGAGACATCCTGCTCCAGCTGCAAAGGGTTCTTGCGTCGTGTCGCGGCGGTAACAAGGCCCTTTTGGAAATGCTTTGCGCCCGAATATCCGAGATCCAGCACGGCCCACTGCTGGCCATGAATAAGACTCTGACTCCTCGAGTCCAAGAGATTGACGACGACCAATGGCGCAACGAGAGAGCTGCCCCAGCCAACGGTCAAACGAACTTATTTACAGCAACTAACGACATGCCGGATTCCAATCAAACCTACGCCCAGGCACAGGCAAGCTTCCTCTCGATGTTTAACAGGGACGGCGCCGCGCAGAGCTTAGGCAGTAGCGGTCCAATGCCGATACCTCTCCAGCGGCAGGATCTTGGTCGGCCAATTTGGGACCACCAAAACCAGATGGGCCCAGGAGCGCATGATCTCATCGAGCAACTACAGAACTTTGACGGCTCCTTCAACGCGGTTGAGTCCAACGGCACGCTCGACATGCTCTTTGCCAACGGGGTCTCGTGGGACAATGTCGCAAACGATGACTGGATGGCCTCGGTGCAGAACAACCCAGGCGCCTTCAACAGTTCCACGCAGCCTTCTACGGACTTGCAGAGAACTTATGAGTAGACTCTATGGTGATTTTTCTTTTCTAGTCACAAAATATCAGCGGCCGCCGTGGCCTCCTGACTCGTAGGCATGGTTTGAGGGTCATCAGATAGAATAAAAATCGACCGCAAAACGAGCCAAAAAAAGGTTGTTCACGGGCAACTGGCTCACGCGCAGAGCGGAGGGTCCTGCTCGAGATGATACCTGATGCGTTGAACGGAATACCTCGACCTTTCGGATCTGTGTGTACGAGTAGCGCCCCCTGGTCTCTCGCAACCTGCAATCTTGAGCACTAGTAAGTCTTGCGCACATTCTGACGTAGCTTCTTAACGACTGCAAGGTTTACAGTAGCACAGCACGCTGCGTGCCATCTAAAACGTGGGAGAAGCATGATAAAGAAACGCAATGTATTCAAAATCTGTCTATAATCTACGGTTCTACGTCCCAGGCCAGGTCGTAACTTAGGCTTCCAAAAGCACCACCGCTCCCTCATATGGTCCAAGTGTAACCTTACCTCCGCTAAAGTCTTTCGTCGTCTTACCGCCATTGGTTACTAGTACCTCTTTGACGCCGCCCTTCAATCCCGTCCAATCCACAGTCTCGGAAGAAAAGTTGCAGGCAACGACTGCGACAGCGCCATCATCGGATCGCCGTGCGTACGCAACAATCTGCTTGTGCTTCTCGTCAACGAGGTTGAAGTCACCATAGACAAAGATATCGAGGTGCTTCTTCCTCGTCGCGAGGACGGTCTTCCAAAAGTTGAAGACGGAGTTAGGATCGGATACCTGGGACTCGGCGTTGATCTCCGTGTGGTTCGGGTGAGCCGTCATCCACGGCTTGGCGTCGGCCGTCGTGAAACCCGCGTTGGGCCCGGCGCTCCACTGCATCGGCGTCCGCGCGTTGTCGCGCGACTTCTTTTGGTATTGTGACTTGAGCAGCTTCAAGTAGTCCTGGTCCTTGGAGTCCTTGTTCAGACTGCGGGTTGTCTGTCAGTCATACGCGCATCCTCAACAAGTGGCAACACACGGATCATGTGACACTCACTTCCAATGGTTCAGGCAGTCAATGTCCTTGTACTCCTCCATCGGCCACTCCTTGGGGACGTTGACCATGCCGATCTCCTGGCCCTGGTAGACGAAGGGCGTGCCGGCCTGGAAGGCTTGGAACATGGAGATAATTTTCGCGCTGTCGACGCGGTGCTCGGGCGCGTCGTTGGCGAAGCGGCTGATGGAGCGCGGCTGATCGTGGTTCTCAAGGTACAACGCGTTCCAGCCGTTGTTAGTGTACATGAAACGCTGCCACTTGTCGGCGATGCCCTTGAGGTCGGCCAAGTCCCACTCCTTGGGGGAAAATTTGCCGTGGGGGCCGATGTCGATGTCGACACTAAGATTATGTCAGTGGACCGAACGTGGTCGATCACAGGTAGGAGGAGTAGAGGGAGAGGGAGGAGGAGATAACGCACAACTCGAAGTGGAAAATCATGCTCAGCTCGCCGCGGTCCCCATTGACGCTCTTGATGACTTCGTTGAGATCCCTGACACAGGGCATTTCGCCGACGCTAAAGGCATCGTACTCTTGCAGGATGGCACCCAGCTCCTTGAGGTACTCATGCAGCCGGGGCCCGGCGGAGTAGAGCTCGGAGCCGGAGAGAACCTCCTGGTCTGAGTCAGGGAAGTCCTGGGGCTTGCTGATGAAGTTGATGACGTCAAGGCGGAAGCCGTCGGCGCCCTTGTCGAGCCAGAAGCGCATGATGGCGTGAACGGCATTGCGCACCTTGTGGTTCTCCCAGTTGAGGTCGGGCTGCTCCTTTGCGAAGAGGCGGAGGTAGTACTCGCCGGTGGTTTCGTCCCACTCCCAAGCGCTGCCTATGACTTGCGTTAGCATCTCTTCCAATATCATGACCGTCTCCGGGTTGGACAGGGAGGCCAACCCTGAAAATGCGACTTCCAGTTGTTGGGCGGCTGGCGGTTGCCCTGGGCGTCGTACTTTGGCTTGCGCCAGATGTACCAGTCTCGGTATGGGTTCTCCTTTGAGCTGCGCGACTGCTTGAACCACTCGTGCTGGTCGCTCGTGTGGTTGACGACAAGGTCGAGCACGAGCTTCATGCCGCGCTCGTGGAGCTTGTCTTTGAGGACGTCGACGTCCTCGACGGTGCCGTAGGGCTCGTGGATCTTGCGGTAGTTGCTAATATCGTAGCCCTTTCATGACAGCCCCGTCAGTAAGCTTCCATAGCAATCTTATCGGTGAGTCTAGAAGGTCCAGGTTTGCGACAGCTCCGGGGCGGAAGGGTGTAAGCGTCAAAGACAGCGACGGCTTACCATGTCGACCTGGGGACTCTCAAAGATGGGGCTCAGCCAGACAATGTCGACGCCCAGCGACTTGAAGTGATCGACGCGTGAGATGATGCCCTTGAGGTCGCCGACGCCATCGCCGGTCGAGTCCTGGAACGATGCCGGATAGACCTGGTACACAGAGCTCTCCTTCCACCACGTGCGCAGCTGCTTCTTGGGCGATTGTCCACCGGCGGCGCCGTCGACGGGATGGGGAGCCATTGTGGTCGCTTTTTATGTTCTAGAGCTGGAATCCCAAGTCCTGCGAGCTTCGTTGGCGGTATGGGGATCCGTCGAGATCGCGGATATTGGGGGTGATACGCCGCAAGAGGTACAGTTTCAAGGGAGACAGACCAGACTATTGTTCATCTAAATAGAATGGTCGAGAGAATTGGTTGCAAGAATCCGTACACGTCTGCCGATTGCTTAAGAACTTGGGACATCCAAGAAGAGAGTAGCCACAAGCCAAGTCTATCTCTACTTGTACGTGTTTGGACAAGCCCGGCGAGTGTTTCTGCGAGTAAAGACGACGAAGCGACCAATTGGGGAAATTTTTGGCAGAAGACACTGGTAAGGGCCTCCCTTCCCGTCCACACGGGTGTGGAAAACGGATCGGCGGCCACAACAAGGCACGGGTGAGACTTCAACGTCTATTGGCTGAGGTATCTGCGGTTCTCAGTTATGCGTCTTGCTCTGCCAGCCTTGTTCCCTGCCCGACTCGCCTTGGACTCGTGGGGAATGGTTTGATCTGGGTGGGAGATTTTTGGGGAAGGAGGGGTGGAGGATGAGATTGTAGCGAGCGAAGCTGGAGCAAACGGACGAATGAGTGATGCCTCCGATGTAGACACCGATGGTCGCTGTGTGCCCCTCCATCCGGTGCATGTTCGTCATGCGGGGTAAATCAACCGTTCGCTAGCAATGCCTGCAGAGGTTCCGCCTTAGCCGCTTGGTGAGGATAGGTACCGACAGTACCTAGGTACCCAGGGGGAGACGCGAGGCAGCGCACGGTCCTGACAGCAGCGTGCCACGGTTCTTGTTACAGATAGGTACCTAGGTACTTGGAAAGCAGCAAGACAATGATTCAGCCCTCGGCGGTGTTACCGGGTTTTTTCCGAAGCGGCCTTGGCAGGAGCGCAAGAGGGCAATACGCAAGCGCGAGCCCACGCATGAAGGCCATTACGTTGTATCGTGTTGCAGGTTGAGAAGATCTATCTCACCACGTGTGCGAGACCAAAGTGTGTCTGTGTCAGTACATACCGTACATACCTACCCGACGAAATAGTGGCCCCATCCGCCCTCCGAAAGATTCACCGGGTTTTTGTGGTACCGGAGCCCACTCCGGCAAGGATCCAAGAATGACATACCCAGGGCCTGAAAGTCGAGGAACGGGGTTCGCATGCCTTCGAAAGCAAGGGAAGCTCGGGCCCGAGACTTTGCTGTTTTTTTCTCTCTTCTCATTGTTGAGTCTTACTCACCAGTTCCTTTGTTCTTCAGCTCGCTTGCTCACCGGGGCGAGATGTAGCCTTCTCTCTTACAGTTTCCCTTCAACAACCAGTCGCCACCCCTGTGCAGGGAGATAGATATGAGCTAACAGGCAAATATTTATCATTGTGGCGAGCCAGTGATGAAAGACGGCAGATAAAACGCATTCGCGGGTTGGGTCACAAGCTTGAGGCAAGCCAAACACAACGACACGAACCCCTCTGTCTACCCAGCGACTCTTCCTCAAGCCCTTGATGATTCCGAAATTTCAGCACCCGCCAGCTCTCTGACGCGAATGCAAGAGCTCCATCGGCGACCAACCCCGCCATGTCGAAAAGGGCCTTCAGCTCCTGGCTGCGCTCCGGCGTCCTTTCAGGGGTTTCCAAGAGAGTCGGCGTGACTACTCCTCAGCCTCAACAGTCGCCCGTGTCGCAATGGCGACGCTTTACTTCGAGAACCACGCAGCGCCAGCGACCCATCCTCCTGGCCGCCGGCGCTGGCGTATTGGCAACGACTCTCCTCCTAAACCTCGCCCCGACCTCGAAACCAAACCGACCGTTCAGAGACGATACCGTAAGCCCCTCCTCGGCGGCAGCCGCATCTCTCCCCGAGCCCGATTCTCCATGGCCCCAGTACCGCCTCTCGGAGGTGAAACGTCACGACAGGACTTCGGAACGCCCCTGGGTCACCTACCGAACCTCCGTCTACGACATCACGGACTGGGTCGCCGCGCACCCGGGCGGTGACGTCATCCTTCGTGCGGCCGGCGGCCCCGTCGAGCCGTACTGGGACATATTCAGCATCCACCGCCAACAGCTCGACAACGTGCTTGTCATCCTCGAGGGCTACAAGATCGGCGAGGTCGACGGCGCCGACGTGCCGCTCCTCTCCCAGGGCGACGGCGTGGATGACCCCTTTGCCGACGACCCACCCCGCGACCCCCGACTGAGGACCCTCACCGAGCGCCCGCGCAACGCAGAGACGCCGGCCGAGGGTCTGGGGCACTTCGTGACGCCCACGGTGCTGTTTTACGTGAGAAACCACATGTGGGTCCCCGTCGTGGACGAGGCGGGGGGTGCGGACGGGCATGCGCTGACGATCGAGATGCCGGACGGCGAGGAGAGGGTATACACGCTGGGGGAGCTGCGAACGCGGTTTGTCACGCACAAGGTCACGGCGACGCTGCAGTGCGCGGGGAACAGGAGGCAGGACATGACGACGCATGCCGCCAAGACGAACGGGCTGCAGTGGGCCACGGGCGCCATTTCGACGGCCGAGTGGGAGGGCGTGCTCCTCCGCGACGTGCTGGCCGATGCCGCGAGCTGCGAGATGATGAGTGTCGCGAGCCTGCCGCCGTCTGTGAGGCACGTACACCTGGTCGGATTGGAGGCCTACGCCGCGAGCATCCCCGCCGCCAAGGCGCTCGACCCACTCGGCGACGTGCTCCTCGCGTTCCGCATGAACGGCGCGCCCTTGCCGCGGGACCACGGATACCCGCTGCGCGCCGTGGTCCCAGGCAACGTGGCGGCACGGAGTGTCAAGTGGCTGCGGCGCATTGCGCTGTCAGACGAAGAATCGCCCTCACAGTGGCAGCGGCGGGATTACAAGGCCTTCTGCCCGGGCGAGGGGTCGGAGCCGGATTGGGACTCGGCACCGGCGATACAGGAGATGCCGGTCACATCAGCGGTCACCGCCGCGAGAGTGGAGGCCCCGGGGGCCCCGGCCGACCGGGGGAGGCGGATCAAGGCGGAGGGGTACGCGTATTCCGGGGGCGGGAGGGAGATTGTGAGGGTGGACGTGAGCACTGACGGCGGCCGGACGTGGAAGACGGCGGACCTAGTGAGGGATGCGGCTGTCGGCAAAAAGGCGTGGTGCTGGAAGCGGTGGAGGTACGAGGGGCTGATCGCAGACGGCCCAGGCGCGGGTGGCCACGGGGAGGCAGTGCGGCTGGTGGTGAAGGCGACGGACGAGGCATACAATACCCAGCCGGAGAGCCACGCGAGCATCTACAATGTGAGGGGGAACCTGGCCACGGCGTGGCATCGTGTGGATGTCGCCGGGGAGTAGAGGGACCATATACTTTCCGTGACTATACACGACGGTTCGTTCATGAGCGTTGGCGCACTTCAGACACTGAGAGCTGTCCATGTGCTACATTTTTTTCGATGGTAGTAATACGCGATTATCTTGACCGAAACTAGCCATGACGTTAGACATCAATGATACTTTCAGGACCGAGGTGACTCCCCGAACATCCTTTTATTGGAAGCACGCCCCGCCTCAACACCTCCGGATGAGCTCACTCGAAAGGGGGTTGGTGGGGTTGTCACCACGACTGCTGTACGGATTGTCTCTCTCCGACGACAGACTAACTAGCAAAGACCCGGGTGCCAAACCGCACAGCTCATTACTACTTGACTATCTCCTAAGCTCAGTTGTGGTGGATTGGGCTGCATGCGTGCGAGGTGGGAAAGATAGGCTAAAGGGTCCCCACTACCTTCCTAACTGCACCGCACCATAGCGTACCTATGTATTTCTATGGTGGCGTTCTCCCAGCTCTTCAATGAGCCCGGTCATCGCATCATTGGCCAATGCCAAAAATTCTCGCCGAGTGACGTGGGGGGGAGGGATGGAGGGGTGGAGGGGAAACACCAGCTGTCCGAGAATTTCCCCGCCATCCACCGTGCGGGGCAGCGTTTTGGGGCTCGCGTTGACGTGCCAGAGAGAGGAGAGGAAAGAAAACAGAGGGAATAAGGGTTGGCAGAAGTTGCGAGCGAACAAAACCCGTCCATCTTCTCCCATACTCACTCACACACGAAGAAACGGAAAGCGCGGCTTCGACCACAACTACGACGAGAACTCCGCCTACTCACAGCCACCTGAAAATCCCAACGACAGACCGCGGCATCCATACATACAAGATGGCGTGGGAAGAGCCGAGAAAGACGGGCATGCAGTACCGCCGCCTGGGCAACTCTGGACTGCATGTATCAGTCCTGGGGTTGGGCGGTTGGTTGACGTAAGTAGGCTGCAGCTCTGCACAAGCGGCAACAACACAGGCACTGACTAGCATTTGTATGCAGGTTCGGCGGCCATGTCGAGAACGGTACGAGAAATGGAGGGTCTGTGGGGGGAAGGGATCTCACGACAACCACTGACGGTCCGCAGAGAAGACGTTTGCGTGTATGAAGCAGGCTTACGACCTTGGTGTCAACTTCTTCGATACGGCCGAGAGGTAGGCTGCCGTCCCACGTTCGCTCCTCGGCCGAATTAGTGGAGCTAACAGTTACGCGCAGCTACGCAGGGGGGAACTCGGAGGTCATCATGGGCCAGGCCATCAACAAGTTCGGATGGAACCGCAACGACATTGTCGTCAGTACAAAGGTAAAGCGGAAGACAGGAAACCCCTCCCTCTTCTCCACAATAGACATCATCTTGACACCGCGTAGCTCAACTGGGGCGGCGCTAACGGTGAGGTTCTTGTCAATAACCACGGTCTCTCGCGCAAGCACATCATCGAAGGCCTCCGCGCCTCCCTCAAGCGCCTCAACCTCGAGTACGTCGACATCGTCTACGCCCACCGGCCCGACCGCCTGACGCCTATGGAGGAGACGGTGCGCGCCTTCAACCATGTCATCGACAAGGGCTGGGCCATGTACTGGGGTACGTCGGAGTGGAGCGCCGATGAGATTGCCGAGGCGTGTGGCATCGCCAAGGACCTCAAGATGATCCCACCCGTC